TTTTATTTCTATCCATTTAGTTATAAATTATGAACAAGTAATAAAAAATGAATCTTTGCAATGAATAAAATTGGTAGGAGCATCCAATTTTGAGTGGCTTCATTATCATGTTTGCTTGTAATTTTGTTGTTGAAGTTTCAAAGCCAAGATACCCAAAAGATGAACAGAGCACCTCTCTTTCTTTCTCTGATTTGATTTTATAATTATTTAATTGTGTAATAAAGGCTATGAGATCATATAAAGGTTGGAAAAAATAATGAATTTTGGCTGCTGAAGACAAAACCATGTGGGTGTCTTTGAAAAGTTTGATTACATGCATCTTCATATCTTCGTAAGTTCTGTTTTCACGTAGCAATTTCATGGGGGGTTTTTAAAAATAAATAAAAAAAGATTTTTGGTTTTATTTTTTGACATGTGGTTTTCTTGCATGAAAAGAAATGTTAAAAGAATTGGTAGAAGTTAAAATAATCTAGAAATAATTGATCTGAGATTTTAATATGGCGTTTAATAAGTTTTTGAACTTGTTAAATTTTAAGAAGAATCTAAAATGTCATGAATTTTTAATTTTATATCTAATAAGTTTTCGAATTTTTAATTTTATATCATCACTTCCTAAATTTAAAAACGCCAATAGATCTATCCTTTCATACAATTTAATCTTATATATAATAAATTAGTGAATTTTAAAAAATATTGAATAACTTTGGAGTCTATTAAACACAAAATTGAACACAAAATTAAAAGGACCTATTGGACCATTATTAATTTCATGAAAATTTATAGTCTAAAGCCTTTACAGTTGGTTTTCAATTATTTACTTGAACTTTTAGAGTGTTGTTTTACAACACTTTCACCCAATGATAATTTGTTAATTTATTGTTTAAAATCAACTAAAGACCTTTCATGTGATTAAACTTTTTTCAGATTAAAAAAAAAAAAAAAAACCTTTCACTTTGATCATTAGACTTTACARAGTGACACTTCAATTCCTCTAGTTGGAGAAATAATTGAGAATTATTAATTTCATAGTGATACTAACCAAAATGTGACTGGGACATGATAAAGCTTACTTTAAAAAATATCTATACATATTAATTATACATGTACAAAGACTATATAAAATCTGGTTCATGAAACTGGTTCGTATAATCGGTGAAATTAATACTCATAATTTAGAATAAACGAACTTAAGTATCAAATATAAATTTGCCCACTCTTTTAAGAACTCAAATTTTGCTCAAATCTCAAGAATTAAAAACATACATTATTCTCCCTGGTTCAACTGCAACACAATCGAACCAATAATAAAGTAATAAAGAAGATAAATAATAAATAAATAATATTGGATAAAGAAAATGGAAAATATTTGAAAGAAAAGAAAGGGGGCTTTTCATTCGGATTCCATCTGAGAAGAAAGTGATGGGAGGATCTAATCAGTAGGTAAACGTCATCACCCAAAAAAAAAAAAGTCAATGAAAGAGTTCATTAAATTTTGAAAATAAAAACAATTAAAAAAAATGTTAAAAGGGCCAATAAAATATGAAACCCATGGACATGACGTAGCCTGTATTTGCCAGGTTGACCATTAATTAAACAAATAATAAAGAAGAAGAAGAAGCAGAAGATTGAAGATTGAAGATGTCCAATCCAGAACTCCACAGGCTAGGGCTGAGGCTGTAGGCTCATTGAGGATTAGTTTTGAGAAGAAAGGCAGAAGAAATGATGACCCATTTGAATTTTTCTTCATGGAAAACAAGCAAATTGGTCCATTTTTACCATCTTTCTCATCATTTTCCTCAGATTTTCCTTCTCCCTCTCTTGTATGTTTCCTTGATTTTCTGACCCTGCTCAAGATCTCTGCCTTAACCCCATTTCAGTATTCAAACAACTCTAACCTTTCTGTAATCCTGTGTCTGTAAAATAAATTCAACCTAACTCCGATTCTTTCACGGAACAAGAATGCCAGAAGGGTTTGGATTATACAAAGGAATACATTTGTCTAACTATGTTTGGTTTGGTTTGGTCTGGTCTGCGGAGACTAGCATATTGTATAAATGGTGAGTTTCAATATATATGATTAATTGTAGTCGGAGTTTTGCTCTCCTATACCCAAGGGCACCTGCATCCGTCCCAAGGTCTGAACCCAGGAGACATCAAAGATTTTTAGTATTAAGCTCACCAAAAGATTTGAACTTAGACCTTTAAACCAGCATGACCAAGATTGCCAATTGAGTCTGCTCCTTAGGGGGCCCATCTATACGATTACTATTTATAATCCATGATTTAAAAAAAAAGAAATAAAAAAKAAAAGAAAAAATCTTCCTAACTTCCAAGCCTTTCTATGGAGATCTAAGTAATAAGATGATATATCTCATCTTTCTAAGCATGATAARTATTTTCTTCTATCCTTCACTATTTCCATGAAATTTCAGTCAAAAAGGAAGGGAGATGAGTACTCTTGGCAGGATAACAGAAATTTTTGCTACTTTAAGGTGGAGGGTTCAACTCAAACAAGATGTATATAATTTAATGGGGGTTGGGGGTAGATCCTCAATTTGCAGGGTACCCTACGGATTTGGGGCCATCATTACAATATCTACAAGAGTGGAAGGGTTTCAGAAGCTGAATGGAAACTGGTTCAGTACGCAAACCTTTTTTCTTGCTTTGSTCCAAAACAACATCCTTCGCTTCGCTGCCTAACACCTTCATTCAAACAATAATCAATAATGTCTTTTAATCATTGAAATCTTTGGTATTTTCTAATTCACAAGGCAAGAGAAGATATATTCACAGGTTTTGCATACCAAATAAACAGCCTTGGCATATTGCTCAAATACAGCATGATGTAAATGCAGGAACATATCTTCTTCTCCTTCTTCTTCTTCTTCTCTCCCTCTCTCTCTCTTTCTTTCTCTCTCTTCTTCCCAACTTCCCTCTAATCTTCAACAAGATTATTTCTTCCTCTGGAGATTTTTCAGTCTAGTTCCAAGTACAATATCCATGCCAACATCTGCAGTTATTTGTCCTCTCATTAAACAAATTAGGACTTGTCATGGGAAAAAGAAGCCAAAGGAACCCCACCATTCCAACCACAAATGCCAGGCACACCACCCCTGAGATGTTTAGATAGAGATTAATTCATAGACAAAAATGAAACTACAGTCTCAGTCAGATGAATGGAATGCCAACGAGGTCTACAACTTTTATGCAAATAATGAAAATAGTATCGAAAGCAGAAACTTCGCATAAATGGTTGAGTCAGCTTCTTGGATTAAACAAGGTGAATTGCAGCATTTGGAATTTGGTATAGCCAACAATTTTAAAGTAGCTAGTAACCTATCTTATAYTGATCTGCCACTTATGAGATTTGAAACATGGACTAGAAACAGCTTTATAAGGCTCACAAGCGTGTGCCTACCAACCGGGCTAAAAGTTAATTAGTAACCTATCTTATAACAATTCAACTTCCTAAGCAGACTCAAGTTCGATCCTAGATGAGAAGGGTCTGTGTACTGAACTGAATGATTTGTCCTTGTCTTAACAAGTTAACATTCTTCTTAGCAGTCATTAATTCCCATATCAACCACTTATTTCCATGGAAGACAATGAACACAGAAAACCTATTTATAAAGCAAGGTCACAAACAGAATAGAGCGTAACTATAGGATATCATCACAAGGACAAGAAACTTCAGACATATTTCTCCTGTGCAAAGGGACGAAGAGGGTTTGATTCTTTTTTTAGGCGTCATTGATGAATTCAGGTCAAAAAAATATAAAACATACCTCTTCTTCGTGAAAAAAGCACAGGTAATCCCATAAAGTTGCAGAAAACATGGGCAACTAATGGAGCAAGAAGATGGCCTGCAAGTAATATTCCAACCTGCATTAGTGGGATGTCATCATACCAGAGACCCCAAAAAAATGCCATAACCAATTGCCGGGGACTGAGTACAAGAGCAAGATTTCAACAACACCAACTGGTCAGCTAATTGCACTATAAAGAAAAAGAAAACTACCACAAACATCACCAAAGCTACTCTCCGGAAGTGGACTTCTTCCATCAAACCCACCCTCAGTTGTTATTGGCTCCAAATGCTTAAAAATTAATGGCTAGGTGTGTGAATGAAGTCCAACAAAACTACCTTACGTGTCTTCTTTATTTTTTTTTCCCGAAACTAGAAAAGTAAGGACCAAGTATTTCATTCAAGGTAATAAAATATATAAAAGCTACTTCAAAGGAACTGCAAATCAAAGAAGGATATTTATAACAAAACTCTTGGAGCAAGAGCTCTAAAGGAAGGCACCATACAATATTGGTTCCATAGTCCCCCTTTTATTAGGGTTACAAAGAATAATTACAATCTTAGATGTCATGAGAATAATCACTCTTCTATTGTTTTTAAAGTCAACAACAATATTCACCCTTCAATTAGCATCTCTAAATTTTTTATATGACCTTAATATTCATAATCTAGCCGGTTTTGTAAGAACATCAGCTATCATCAGTTTGCTTGTAACAGGAAATGCATTAATGGACAAGTAGATTTGCCCTAGACTAAAACTAAATAGTAGATTATTTGGTGAAAAAATACTTCATATGCAAGATGGTTTCAGCCTCTATAAGAGAAGCACGTTTAAAGATTTTGCCACTTGTTATACTCTATTTTCCAGCTTGAAGCTGTTGACCAGTTAATATCTAAGTCTTATTTTACCAGATGATTGATTATAGAGGAATAGGGACTATAAAACTAAAGAGCCAAAAGTATTAACGTTTTTTTTAGAACAAGATACGAAAAAGTATTAACGGTTAAAAGAAATAGAATTAACAAACAATGTTTTCCCTAAAATACCAGATCGCGCAAAGAGAAAAGTTGCATATGATCCAAATACCACAGTATAGCCAAGCTGAAGACCTGTGAAAAAAAACCACACGTAAATCCTTCATAAACATTATATATGTATAAATGGCGTCTTTCAGGAAGTTATGTACCTACAACCGTAATTGCTCTGACTAAGTTGTTGTTCTGCTTGCTATAATACTCCATGAAGTGGTTTAAATGTGCTGCAATGAGATAACGAAACAGGAATAAGACTCGTTTTTCATCAAGTTTGAGTAAATTTGCACAATGAATGCAATTAGATTGGTTGTCCATGAAATGTTCCAAGTCTATTAGTCCCATCGTAATTTGAATTAATAAACTAAGACCAAGTGTAAGTAACACGTGATGAGAATATATATTGGAAAAGATTAAATTCATCCAGTCTACCAGCTCAGGTTTAGTGGTCACTCAATATGGTAGAAGAGSAAGTTCAAACCCTTGCAATGTTATTTATCCCTATTTCATATGAATAGCTCATGTGTTGAGCTTTATGCTATTATCTGAGTCCATGTGTGAAGGAGCATGCTAAAAATATAGTTGAGAGTGTTAAATTTACCGTACACTATCAGTTTAACTTTTGAACCTGTCAGTGATTTAACAGCAGAAAGGAACAGGAAAAAGCTTAAAGCACAGAGAAGCATATGGCCATGCCACATATTGAATAAATAAGGGTACATAAACCGAACTCTTTCGTATGGCAGTTTTCATCTGCCAGAACAATGAAGCATCCAACTTACCCAGACTGAAAAGAATGGGGCAGAGAAATATCACAGTGGTCGGCTTAAACCCCCCAGAGAGAAGAACCGGTATCATGCATGCTCTAAACACCAGCTCCTCGGTTAGTGGAGCCTGTCCAAGAATGTGTGATGCCAAATTAAATCTTTCAAATGTCAACCAACAAATCCAAGTAAAAAGGGTTCATTAACAGAGCTTAGAAAATGTTTATAACCATCTAAGACCTATACTACTTATCATCGAGGAAAACAAGACATAAATTCAAATATTATAGAAAGAACAACTCACAAACTCAAAGTCATGGCATGTTTAACTTCTGAGTACCATCCAGATCTCTAGATGTCGATCAAGGCCTTCCCAACCAAATTGAGAGCCTTCAGTGATTGAATACAAAGGTCCRGGTAACCACATCAATCCAGTTACTACTTATCTAGTTAGGTTATATTAAGTATGCAAGCAAAKTTTAGGGCAAAACCAGGTCACACTTTTTTCTTTGCACCCAACTGCATGTAATAATTATTAATCAATAAATCCATCAAGAGACCGTACTCATAGTCATAGAGGATCTGTCAAATAAGTAATGCCTAGGGGAGGAAAAACCAATGGTGCAAGATGAAAGTTACCCATAATTTGAAAGGTGTATACTCGCATGCAGCCAAACATCACAAATGGAGTCARCAATATGCTAAGAATTAACAATTTTTAGTTCTTAAGGGACAGGAAACAACTGGGAACTCAAAATGGAATGGAGAGGCTGTAAATGTACTCACCACGACATAATTACGCCAAGCCAAAACATTTGAGACAGTTGATAGCCCCCAATCAAGAAAATTTCTCCAAAAAAAGCTGGCACAGTCCACAAGGGAGCCTTCTCCATGATTCATATATTCTCTCCATGAATCCACCAATAACAAAGACTTTAAGATCATTGACCCAGCGTACATTAAAGAAGTCAGTGAAAGAGGAAAGACCACAACTTGCCACTGTTTCATAGATAAAATTGCAATTCAGGATGCAAGTTTATGATTCATTTCACCTTTCCAATCTGCAGACTACAAGATTATAAAATTGAATAAAATGTTAAAGGAACCCTTAGCTAGTACCATGATGCATTATTTAATGGAGGAGAAATATCGATACTTACAATATGATCTGCTCGGATGCCATAAGCTCCTAATAAAAGAGAAAACTCCATTTTCCTTATCTAACATGGAAGAAAATGAGATGGAAAAGGTCAGCACTCTGATGGAAAGCTAGCACAAGCAAATATGTAAATTATGAACTAAGCACTCATAATCAGAGTAATAAAGCTTGACTGAATTACAAAATTCTAGGATGGAACAAGAACTCATGTCTACATAGTATCTTCCTTGGCATGGTAATTGAAGAGTAATAATCTCAAATTTACCAATTAGATCGATTCATTTCAAATTTCATAGTAATCAGTCGGTTTACTTRCTTACCGAGAAAGGTAATTTTATTCCAGTTCTATAAGTTAAAATGGATCCAAAAAATTCGTAATTYAGTTAATCTTTATAACCCCTGACTGTATAAGGTTTTTAAAATCAAAATTCACTTCATTTTTCTTTCTTTATTTTTTCTTTTTTTAATTATTTAATCCACAAATTAAAACCGTAAATAAATAATTTTTAACAAATTCCGGATAGTTTACTTGCGGTTCATGATAAAATAATTCTTACAAAAACAGTGTATCCACGATATATTGATCGACCATCCTTAAATGAGCAACAGCAGAACGTTTCCTAATAATGAAAAATAACCTTATGAATTGTTTTTTTCTCTCTTCAGATTGTTCCAACCAGATAGCGGAATATAAAACAGTCCGATTCGAAAAAGAGAAATTCATTCGATAATGGAATGATTTCTCAACGGATTGATTAGAAAATGTAGTTATAATTTCAGGAATTAATGAGCGAAAAAAATAATTGAAGCTTACAGGAAGGATTAGAGCGCAGACGACGACCGAGACGACAGTGGAAACGAAGGCGCAGATGAACCGTCGAATCATGAAAACTTGAAGTGATGGAGGAGGCGGTAGACGAAGTATCGAAGTAGGGGCATAGAGAACGGCGACGTAGAACAAAGTCATGGCCGTGCAAGACGTTACTGCCACTGCTTTAGAGATCGAACAATCTTCCTCCTCCATCGCCAGATTTTCCGACCTAAAACGTAGAATTAAGGAAAGTTTTCTTCGCAGTGGGATCTGATCGGGAGTTCCGATCGCCGCCTCGCCGCCGATAACCCGCCACCTCGCGCTCGCTGAGTTGAATCGGAATTGCTTCCGAGTCGGTGAGTCCCCTTCCCGTCGTTTCYTGTTTCTTTGATAATGTTTTGGTCTTCAGGTCATGCTGTCAAACGACCGTTTACTTTATTTTTTTTTTAAGAAACTTTATTTTTACTTGTAATTAGCAAATTAAAACGGTAATTAAATTACATCAAAATAAAAAAGAATTACAAATTGCAAAAACCATCCCTCCAATATTTTATATCTCTAAATTTTCRTTGCTAAAATTAAATTCTCAAACTTTCATAAATGAAAAAGTTAGTCCCTAAATTTTTAATAAAAAATTAAATATTTAAACTTTCAACAGTAATAAAATTGTACCCTCCAAATTTTCAAAGGTTAAAATGTTAAAATTAGACCCTAAATTTTTTAAAAAAATTGTATCGATTTGACTATTCTCTAATGAAAATATTTGTCTTTCATTGACTCTGAATTTCAAACTCAACAGCGAAAAACGTTGAAATGGGGCGGTTGATTTGATTAATAAAAATGGTATCTTTTTCCGTTAGAAAAATATAGATTMATACTTTTTCCAATAAATGAATARATAAATAAGAAGAAGAAAAACCATRGTTTGACAAAATTAATTATGGTTTTTACGGTACAAATTTTTTACCTGTCACGTTATATTTTTATTTTATTTTATCGTATATATTAGAATTAATATTTTTTTTAAAAAATAAATATGTCTCAAATRCTAGTGAAAATGTAAATATTGTTTATATTTACAAGAACATAAGTTATTTCTAAGGTAATAGGTTACTTTTATACCATTTGATATTTATTAAAGTTTAATTGTAATTATTAAACTGAAACTCAATTTTAATGTGAAACATAAATTCATATATAACAATGCTATATTTGGAAAGAAAAAAAAAAGTTGTAGATTTACCCAACGGAGTAAAGTTTATCTATTTAATTTGTCAAATTGATATATTTAAAAGTATAAAATATAAACAATAATATATTTTGTTTACTGTCGTTCTTATTATTACTATTTTGTTTAAAAAAAAACAAAAGCTGATATAAAATGATTACAAGATTTGAATAGCATTCATATAGCAAAAATAAAATTAACAAAATTTAACTATCACCGTACTATTGAACTAGTTAGATACTATATCTTCAACTAGAGGTTCGAATTTCCCTGATTAGAACTAATTAATAATTAAGAATTAAACATGAAAGACATTTGAAATATATATATATATATATATATATAATTGGTAATATTAGTGATAAAAGAATTATATTAAAAAAAAACACAAACAATAACAACTAGCAAGGAAGGTGAAACCTTTAAATTTGATCATAGAAATTGATCGTCTCGCAAGTTCGGATCAAGGAGGTTGATCTAGGCTCATAACTTGCACAAAGAGAAAAAGAGGTTATAACGATCAAGTCAGTCTAAGTTACCTGAAAAGTGGAGCGGTCATCCTATTTATAGGGTTTGGTCCACCATATCCTACTTGCTCAATAGTTATAACTATTTCGACGTTCCCGGAATGTACTTTACTACGGCTAGCAGTTAAGATCCTTATTGGTTGGCTCGACCTTTTACACAACCATCTAATATATTCGTCGACTTAACTAATGGAGATGGCTAAGTTGCTTTTTTTYGCGCTCTCTAGATTTTATGTATTTACATTATAGATTATTATGGTGACATGACACCTTCTTTCCGACCTATAACTCATTGACGTTCACAGTCGCTAAATGACCTCCAACACTTTACATTRTAATCTCTTTGAAGAACTTCTGTTRCATTGTCTTGCGACTTTGAAAAATCAAAACTACCAAGTGAATTTTGGAGAGAAGAGACAAAAATAATGTTGATTTATAAAATAGATAGAAAAGGAGTCATTTTTATRGTTGTAGGAAATAGAGGAAGGAAAAGAATAAGCATTATATATTTCAAACAATTTTAAAATTCTACGACTTTAAATTTTATAAATTAAGGTCATTCTACCAATTTTATATTCATTAATTTACTAATAATTAAGGGTGCATTTAATTTAGTAAAGTTAAAAAAACGTAAGGAAAAAAAAGTTACTTCACTGTATTATTAAAGCAATTTCAATAGTCATTTTCTTAAGTACAATAATATACGAGGTAAGGATTTGAACCCACAACATATTTGTTGGAGATATATGCATTAATTTGTTGAGTTATGTCTTGTAAAAAGAAAAAATTGTTGTGTTAGGTTAAAATTAACAGAAAAAAGGTATATTTTTACCTTTGATATTCGAAACGTAAAGGTTGCACTCATGTGTGGCAGAAGAAACCATAAGTGATCATTTTTGTACTTTTAATTTTTGTTTATTTTAGTTCACGTACTTTCAAAATATCAATTTTGTTCTCTCTACTTTCAAATTTGTTTATTTTAGGTTGATACTTTCAATATATCTCATTTGATTCTAATACTTCTAAAAAGTGATGGGCCATTACTTTTGAAAAGCAATCATTTTACTCTCTTTATTTTTATTTTGTTCGGGAAAGAAATACCTTTTTTTAGAAGACTTCATTTTCATTTTTATCTACRRTGAGTTTAGCACAACACCTAACTCATTAAATTTARGAAAATACTTGGCTTTAGTAAGGAGGAATTTTGTATTTACCACAAAGGCAAAAACATAAAGACTTTCTAGAAAATGACGAGCTGTCAAATATTTATGGGTGGCAAGRAAAAAGTTCCTTATTAATGAGGAGCCAGGTATTTTCCTTAAATTTATTGAAATATCGTGCTTTTTAAAAGTGAAATTTTGTGTCAAAAATTTTTACAGTATATAAATTTTATATTAAAATTGTTGAAAGATAAAATGTGAACGTTTTACTAAAACAATAGTTCAGCAGTAATTGACATRTATAATCGAGAGGTTGCTCTAAAAAAAAGTGCCAACTTGAAACTACAAMAAAAAAATAAATGAAAAAAGAAATATAGGAAAAAATAGTATTTAAACCCAAAAAAATCAATTTATTGCAATGCGGTGAATTTTTAGACGACGATACAAAGAGAAATCCTCGAATGAAGAAATACCAATTTGTATTTTCTCATAACGAAAGGGGCGAAATGTGTAATTTCGTATGCCGCACTAAGTCACCCATGAAATTCTTGGCCTTGCACTTGTCCCCACTGAGCGTCAACTTGCTTAAACGAAATATGAAATGTCAGATATGCCCTTTAGAGTCTTGTACTATATAAACCGCATTTTTCATTTCTGTTTGCTTTTATTTTTWTTTTTACTTTTCTAGTGCTTCGAATCATCGCCAATCTTTCCCCCGTTTAGTTTGATCTGGAGCGAAATCCCTAAATCTCAATCGTTCTTCGCTTTAGAATCGCTGTGCTGCCTTTCGATTGTGTGAATTTGAAAGCTTTTTTTGATCTTCTGCAATCTATGGGGACGGTGAAGAAGGAGTTCGCTGTACCGCCGGTGGTTTTCCCATCGGGCGGTAACCCCAATCTTCAGCAAAGGCGGGTGGCCACGGCGCCGTTTCAGCCTCCTCGGTCGACTGGCTCCAGTATTCCGTTCATGTCCTTCGACATCGGATCCGCCGCCGCTGCTTCCACCTCCTCCGCCGGCATCTACGGTGGTCCTATCGGTGGTGGGTCTCTCCCTGGCGGCGCTAATTTCGAAGACGAAGAACCACTCCTCGATGAGCTCGGGATCCACCCGGATCAAATCTGGAAGAAAACTAAGTCGATCCTGAATCCGTTCCGGGTCAAACCAGATGCTGTCTCTTATACACATCTATCCTATTTATAGGGTTTGGTCCACCATATCCTACTTGCTCAATAGTTATAACTATTTCGACGTTCCCGGAATGTACTTTACTACGGCTAGCAGTNAAAACTAAGTCGATCCTGAATCCGTTCCGGGTCAAACCAGATGTGCACAAGGACTCGGACTTGTCCGGACCGATTCTCCTTTACATGTTCTTCGGCCTCTTTCAGTTGCTCGCCGGCAAGATCCAATTTGGGGTGATACTGGGATGGATCGTGGTTTCTTCGATCTTCTTGTACGTTGTGTTCAATATGTTGGCTGGACGAAATGGCAATTTGAACCTTCACACATGCACTAGCGTTGTTGGGTACTGTATGTTGCCCGTCGTGGTTTTGTCGGCGGTGTCCTTGTTCCTTCCGCAGACGGGCATAGTGAGATTCGCAGTCGCCGGAGTTTTTGTGTTGTGGGCGACGAGGATTTGTACGAGTCTTATGGTTTCTCTTGCTGATGGTGGGGATGAGCACCGTGGGTTGATAGCGTATGCTTGTTTTTTGATTTTCACTCTGTTTTCGCTGTTAGTTATATTTTAGTTCTAATCCAAATGCAGCTTTGTGATTAGTATTGACATTCTTTGTTGAACATGAAAAAGGAAAAAAGAAAACTTTTGGTACTGAAATTTTTGTTACTATATTGATTGCTTGAAGTGAGTTAGAGTTTGGGAAACTTGATGTAGTAAATGGAAATCCTTTTAATTTAATTTCTTTTTTTGTACTTCAGGAAGTTCCTCATTTCTCATATTAGTCTTGTAAGAGATCAGCTAGTTTTCTTGTTGAACTGTTTACTGGTAGGTGTTGAGTGGCTGGTTAGCTATTTTATTTTAAGCAGCCGTATTGTTTTGATTCTACATTTTAAGTGCAAATCATTTGTATGATGTGCTTGGTTGATGATTGCCTCTAGTTGAATGTCCAAGATTGCCAATGCCCCTTTAAGGAATCATCTATGAGACAAAAGAAAATTTAGTTACATAAAATCTTGATGTTTCTAATACCTTCTTGATCCCTCTCCTACTCTTTTCTTTCGAATTTTGAGCGTCTTTTTTGCTTCTTCTTGTCCTCATCTAATGTTTTAAAAGGCTTAAAGGCCGTCTCTCTAGACTTTTTATCTGGAAGAGTCAAGTCTTAAGGCATCGAAAGCCTTTCAGAATGTTGTTTGCATGTGTGCAACCTATAGTATAACTGGCTTTTGAGCTTTGTATCTATAAGCAGGATCATTTCGAACATCCTAGTAATGGCAATGTGGGCAAGTTGTAATGTATTCCCGTGTCCTTGTTTTATCTATTGAATGAAGTTTTGAATAGGGGCCTCACTGAAGGTATTTTATTTAGGGGGTGCCGTCTACAGGTTGTATAATTGTATTATGGTACCTCTTATCTGTATATGCCCTTGCTGAAAATTAGAAGTGGTCTGAAAGATATAACTGGCTCTTCCAATTGTCCTGGTTTTATGTTGCTGGTTATCTTTTGCCTCCCTATTGAAGAAACGAAATAGGTTAGCAAGTCACTTATATGTGGATAAACGAACTTGGTTGGAAGAGGAGAATTATTTTGTTATCTAAGTCGTTYAGATTGTTGCCGTGGTGCCCTCTCAGTCTTACTAAGGATATATGTTACAGTTGAGCCTTTTTTAGTTCAAAAACCATCGATTTTGGGATGACATTAAGGTAGTTTATCTACTTGAGTTATGTTCGGATTGGCAAAGAGATTTCAGGTTAATTGTTGCACCCACRTTATTGTTGGCATTTGAATATCCCCAAGATTGACAATTTGAAAATAAAATTTCATGTCTTTTTTGGTGGGAAAGGTCGTGTTCTCTAGCATTTGGGAGTTGTTTTGTAGCTTATTTGTTTGGAAAGAAATAGATTACCGTTTCTGGGATAGATTGATTTCTGAGAGTGGAGAGATTTCATGTAGAGATTTATGCAGTACAATGCTTCCTTATTGGCTGATAATTCAAATTGTTGTGTAATTATCCTCTGTTTGTCTCTTTTACCAAAAGTTGGGGTACTTTAATTGCCAAGTATTCAACTTTAGTCTCATTGTCATCCGAGAGTTGGTTCCACGTTTCAGCTCGTAGTGAACACCTCAACTTGTTATATACCTACGAGGCCAAGACCATCACAATTGCTACCATAAATTGAATTTGTTTCCAGCCCTGTGTTTCTGCAACATGTAACTGCTGTAGTAGTTAATGTCTAATTTCTCTGTCTTTCCCGGTTTAGGTGTTCGATCCGCAAGATGAACTCTCTTAGATTATGCTGTTACCATCTATTTGAACATTGTGCTTCTTAGGTTAAGGATAGTTACTCTAGTTGTAAATATGTATTTACCCTAAATGTTCATACATTATACTACATCTCAATGCATTTTCTGTGGTATCATTTGATGAGAAATGGAAACTGATCATAACTTATCTTTGATTTACAGAGAGCAAGGTTATTTATTGCCTTCTTCTTTAGTCTTGGTAGAAGGAAAAAAAAAAAACAATTAGAAGTATTTTCTTTGGTGTTTCTTTAAAAAATATTTCAAGGTGAAAAATAGTGTTTGGATTCGTAACCATAAGCCGTGGAAACCCTCTAAGAATGCTTTATTAGATTTGTTTCAGCGTGTGATTGAGAATTCTTTTAAGAGCGGTATTTTTTCTTCTCGTTTTCGTTTCCAAATTTTTAATAGATGTTATGTGGTTATTATTTGCACATCTATGACATGAAAACAGTACAACACTTGAATGATACAAGAAAAAACAATATTTAAGTAATTATTATTTGAACATGTTTTCATTAAAATTTTATTTTAAAGAAAAAAATTGTCTTCAAATTAATTTTCAAATTACTAGCAAGTGGTTTTTTTTTTTTGTTCTTTTTAAGTCAAGGTCTCCCTGTCCCTCATCTCCCTCCATCCTTCGTCCCCCCCTCTTCCCCTTTCCATTTTCGATCCTCCTCCTTCGATGGCTACTACGGTGTGATGGAAGTTTGAGAGTTGGGTTGAATTTTGTTCGGCTCATCTCCCCTCCTCTACTCTCTCTCGTCGTCTTTTATTTGACACTCTTCCCCTCCATCTTCCGTCTCAACACGACAACTCGATCTGCCCCAAAATATAAGGGTTGGGTTGAGTTGGATTGGTCGTCATGTTCGATTCTGCCAGTTCTTTAATTTGATCAACTCTAAAATTCAGGTTGTTCTAAAAACTTCCACTAATTCGATCAAATCTAAATCGTAAAGATCCCAATTTTCAACACACATGATTGTAGTAGCACATTAAACTCATGTTGAGCTGTCCCTTTTGAAATTAAAGTTAAAAACCATAACAAAAATTAAAACCATTTTTAAATCAGTAAAATTAATTTTTAGATATTGAAAATATAATTCCAAATTTACAATCATAGGGAATTAAAAATAAATAAATATAWATATATATATATATAATTTTTTTTTTAAATGCAATCCCAGAACTCGCAGTCGCTGCTGTGGACAGATAACTGTTTTTACCTGAAGGTTGGTCAGCCGTTGGCCTCATACGGCCCCACCACCTCTTCTCTTTCAATTAAAAATAATTTTTCCTCTTAGGATTTTAATCTGTCGTTAAATTATTATTTTATTAAAATATTTAGACAACTACCATTATCCTGTTGTTGTTAATATTTTCCTAGCAATATTATTTTGAAAAATTATACTTAATCTTTCCCTCAATTGTTTGACGCGAAATTTGGATCAAGACTCCGACGTCAAGTTTCGAAGTTGTCCGGTCTCGGTAACTCGACTCACATCACTTCTTTAATTTCATTTCAGATGAATTTAGTACGATAATTTCATTCCGTTTATGAAATGGAATCAGGATTATGTCATGATTATGTATGTTAGATTGGGATTAGGGGAGCAGCTTCTTAACTGGTTTTGGTTGCTGTGGATTTGTTGAGGACCGTTCTACTTACCCAATATCTCCTCCCTTCATTCCCTTTATATGTACTTGTACTTAAACCTCCGCCGTATTCACCACCGACCGGCGACCACCATGGCCTCCGGCGAACTTCCGGTGCAAATCGAAGAACAAGACGACGAACTCTTCGAGATCGATCTGGAGGCCGTTAACAGCATTGTTCCTCCGCCGCATTGCTCCGATTCTGCTTACACTTTCTTCACCGCCGGCGCCGCCCTTCTCGCCAACTGTTTACTTCCGATCGCCGACGTCTCCAACGCCGTTCCGATGGCCGATTCGGAGCCGACGCGTCTCGAGAAGCTTCTTCTCTTGCCGCCGGGCTTCGGTATTCTGGCATTGATTGATCGATCGGAAATGAAAATAAACAGGGGATGAATTTCGATTTGTTAGGGTTTTTATTTTTCTCTCTGATTTCGTGGTGTAGGGATTTTCCCGGAAAATTCCCCCTCGATTTTCTTTCTTCGAGGGCAAAAGTAGTGAAGATTTTTCTGTTGAGAGGGAAAGAATTTGACGATTATAGGGATTATAGGGAAATTTATCTAGGTAACTTTAAAAATTTTAATTTTGGTTGCATCTTTTTTACTACGGCTTGAGATGAAGGATTGAACTCACGATCTTGAAGATATATGTCAATTATTACTGAGCTAATTCGTTTTGACTTATTACCATTTTTTTAAAGATAATCTATGTCGTTATTATATATGAGATGCGTGGTGGCCTTATTTATTTATCATGATAGATGGTGTATTTTCTAAGAGTTAAAAAAAATAGGAGAAAAAATTGGTAAAAAATGTGTATGGATTATATGTGAGGTTTAGTCCAAGTATATAAGACTAAATTAAAATTTCTAAAATAAAGAGAATAAATGTTTTTTTAACCTCTAATCTAATCGTAGATATGTGTCAATTACGATTGAGCAACTGATATAAAGTATCTTCCTCCTTTCCGTAACTAATTCAATCCAATCAGTAGACACTATATTAGTAGTTGAAGGGCTATCATATCAGAATTTAACAATTATTTTTCATTACTCTACTAAATTCTTGAAACCTGGATGCAAGGATTTGTAGTATTAGAGAATCCCAATGATGCTTAGAATCAAGCAAATCATGATAAAATTGAAACTAATCCAGAACCACCGGAGATCAAATTGAAAATTTTACAATTATATGAACCCAGAGTTAGATTCCAACATACAATAAGGCCAAATTGGTAATTACTCCCTTTAATTTTAGTAGGGGTGAAAATCGAAACCGAAAGAAATTAATGAACCCAATTAAATTGAGCCTAGTTTGGTCAATTTAAATAACAAACTTTAATCGTTTTGTTTTGTAAAGGATTCGAATTCGAAACCTATTAATGATGATATATGTCTTAACCAATTGAATTATGCTCAAAATTAATGTGTTGATTTAGCATCGGATTGGGCAAAAAAACAAACCAAATTGACTTTCCCTTCCCCTTACATACTCTTAGGTCTAAAATAATATGATTTAGTCGGGGGGAGATGACGCAAGAGTATAAGAGGCCTGAGGTAATTTTTCACCATTCCAAGTCATTCGAGTTTTATTCTGGTGACATTATTGTTCAGCCCAAACAACCCGTTCCAATTATAGAGATCTACTTAAAGTCGATTTTGGACCATAAAAAGAATAATTTTTAACATATAATTTAATTAGTTCATAATTATTTTAAGAAGTTTAAATTAGAATTATAGCATTAATTTTGATTTATACTTCTATATATTTTTTAATAAGTATTGAACCTCTATTTAGTCTCTATTACTAATAGAACGTTGACGCCATATAATATATACCTATTAAAATTTCTGAACTAGTTGTAGGACGTACGACATCAATACTTTATTAATTAACACTGTTTAATTAATGATAATGATAAAGATTAATTAAATAGAAGCATAGTTTAAAGTTCAGAACCTACGTAATTTAATTTAAATATTTTAAAAATTAACGATTAAATAGACATGACCTTCAAAATACAAAAATGAATTTATAATTGAAGTTGAAAAGAAAAAGTGTACAGCAAATCAGCTTAACCTTGATTTTTTTTTTTTTCCTTTTAAGACAAGCTTAACCTTGAAAATTGTTGCTTGCAATTTAATACAAATAAATAAAAGGTATATTTCTGTTGGATATTATTGATTAATCACTTTATATAATTAATCATTTTGCAACAAAGATTACAACACAAAGCATCAATCCTCATTTGGCTTTGTGATTCAAACACCTTTTTGAAGGTCAATGAGAGGAACTAAACCGTAATTAGGCATAAGAATCTTAGTCCAATTCAATTTTGGATCTTTATTTTATTTGAAAATTTATCTACAATTTATTTATTCATTTTAAAATATTAATCGAAAAGAATATAGGAATTTTAAGCAAAGCAATTTCATGTAATTAATTTATATAAAAAACCATATCTTCTATTATATATATATGTATAACCAACAGTGAAACGTCCGGATGGTAACGTTTTAAAGCTTACACTAAACGCTAAATTAATTTATTATCTAAAAATATTAATTTCAAATGTCTTAATAATGGTGGAGTGCAGAATATCAACACATTTAGAGTTTATTGGAGAACCTAATCTAATTAGAATAATCATCTAAGTTTACCTATTTTTAAGAATCATTGATTAAGTGCCTATACAAAAGTAGTTTTATTTGGAGTTGAAATCATYAATTTGTAAGTACATTTTAACAAATTTATAGATGAAAACAAACCTATTAAACTTCTAAGTTKGATTTATGTTTTATAATTAAAGAGAAATATGTTTTTACTAAATCTTTTCGCTCGAGCTCTGAGCCGAATATTATTGTCGTCAAATTTAATAGAACTCTTAATGGATTAGAGAGACGTGATTTGACTAATTTTTTTCTTTTTTCAATCGAGTTCTCATACAAATTTTTAATATAAAAACATGATTTTACTAAAGTTTTCGACTGAGCAGATAGAAAAATACATTTTTAATTTTTTTTTCGAGTTTCAACATAACTTTTTAACATGGGGAGAAACATGTTTCTACTAAATTATTTCCTTCAAGAACTAATCTCATTTACATTTTTAACTAAACTTTTTCGTTTGAGCTTGCATACAATGAAAGAGAGTAAATTAAAAGTAAAACACAAACTTGTAACACGGTAAAAACTTGTAATTAACCGTAAAATATATTTCAAACTAAAACACAAACTTGGTAATGGTAAAATATTTGAAACTAAAAGCACATTCCACGAACATGAAATTCACAAACGGCAGGCAGCCAGCGAAGCAACACACAAAAAAAAGGAAACGAATAAACGACGCCGTTTCTCTCCTTTCTGCATGTTCCAAATTATTTCCCAACTGAGATTGTTTGGTTTTTAATTTTCATATTTACATATGAAGCTCCCTCCCTTCTTCTAATTATCTCCACATAGAAAAGTCCTTTTATTATTTTGAAAGGAAGGCGGCCGCGGCGGCGTTAGCGCCTTCTGGCGGCGGTTTCTCGCTGGGCGTTGAAGTAGACGGCAGCGACGGGGAGGCCGAGATTGTTGTCTGCAGCAAAGGCTCTAGTATTGAAGCCATCCCTTGAAGACGGCGGGATCACCGATTGTCTGCGCGTCTGCTTGAAAAGAACAAACACGAACCTGTGGATTCCTATGTTTGGCCTCGGATTCTCGTAGCTTATCACCTCTTTTCCTGTGTCCGAACCAAAATTCAAAATTATCATGATAATGTGACTGGTAATTTTACAAAATATATCTCGAATCTAATTATTATACATATAAAAAATATATCTAAACTTTTAAAATAAAAATATTATACGTATAAAAAATTAGTAAAGAGGTAACTCTTTTTCTGAAAATTTATTAAAATAGATATCCAATAACTACTAAATACAGATTCGAGTTACTTGTAGATTTAACCGTGTAAAATTTTTAGGTTTCTCTAATTTTATTTTATTTTCTTTTTCTTTTTCCTGATAGAAAAAGTAGTTACCGAATGTGGCGTCTGTAGTGCCAGGGATGTCTGTCACAATCCTGCAACATAGAAAATTGTACAGTTAAAACTGTTAGTTTTCTTTGTAACTTTTGTTTATGTTAATTTCTAAATGAACAAGGTAAAAAAATCTCAACCCCAGCATTTGTTTTTCTGGGTGGTGTCTGAGGGAAGGCCCAAATCAAATCACAAATTTCTATGCAAATAATAATAATAATAATAATAATAATAATAATTAAAAGAATCCAACTGATTCTATTTAGTTTGACAATTCTGCAATAGAAATGAACATGAAAGAAGGTTCTTCAGAAGCTAAATCCAAAACTTCACATCCCCTAATTAACGACATCGATTTTCTCAGTGCTTTTCAAAGTCAAATTTAATTTGGTCGGTTTCATGCATGCAATTTATAATAACTCTAACACATAACAGATAATAATATATTAATATATTAATGACAATCTCAACATATAGTTCAACTGATTAAACCATTGTCAATACGAACTTAACTCAGCGATGTTGATACTTACCTCCAATTATGAGGTTGTGAGTTCAGATCCCTGTTCTCACTAATTGTACTAAAAAACCTGATTAAACCACTTATTTCTAGTGGCAATTCGAATCTCCACTTTCGTTTGGTATTAAAATACATATAAATATTTACCAGTGTAAATGTTCTCTTAAATAAGGATCACTGGGACCAGGAACATCTGGATCTGTCATAATCTGAAAAAGTAAAAAAAATAAAAATATTCAGAAAAATAACTAGGTAAAATATTATTGGTGAGATTTTACATGATATCAAGAATTCTTACGTTCTAGTTCTCAGGTTTACAAGTAAAAGAAGAGTAGAGATAAGAATCATACAAAAAAAAAAAAATCAAATGAAACACCGATCTCTGTCAATTATCTCAAACAAAAATATGAAAATAAAATAAGAAACATGGAGAGAGGAAAAACATATGGGTTTTGTTTTTTTTTTCCCCTTCTTTTTTAACTCCATCAAACAGGAACAGGGTATCAAAGCAGAAACTCGTGTATTTCAAACCTCTATAACATAATTTTTTTCATAATCGAAAGTTCATCAAAACATATGAGTTTGGTCTCATCTACATCAGTAATAATCAAACAAGGTATCAAAGCGAAAAGTCGTGTATTTCAAACCCCTATGACATAACTTCTCGCATAATCGACATGAGTAGTTACTCATTTTGGGCCTGATACACCAACTTCCAAACCCACAAGCAAAGAGAAGTGTTGGTAAAAAAAAATCAAACGAAACATTCATAGAGAGAGAGAGAGATTAGAGAGAGAGAGAAACCAGAGTGAAGAAAGATCTCAAGTCTCCTCCATGGATTTCAACCCTAGGTTTGGCAGCAACAGCAGAAGGGAAGAGCTCATGGCCATTAAAAACTTGCTTATTGTTGCTATAAAAAACAGACATCTTCATGCTTTGGCTGAAGAAATCAAGAACATCTCCTATAACTCTCCCAACAACCAGAGGCTCTGATGACATTATTCTTGCCATTATATTATTACACCCTAAATTCAAAAATTGAGTTAAAAGGACAGAAATGGAAAAAGTAGAGGGAAAAAAAAAACTTGATTTGATTTGGAAACTCTTTGAGATCTATGGCTCGAGAGAAGCTCTGGTGAGTATTTATAGAGAGTTTGTGAAGGGCTCATTAATAGCTATAGATCTTCCTTGGTGTTTATTGGCACTGAAAAGGAGGTTTCTAGAGGCAAAGGAAAAATAAGAAGAGAGATGAAACTTTCTCTCTCTCTTGTCACATCAATGGCTTTCTTTTTCTCTTATTTATTTACTGGAATATAATATTTAGACGTTTATGAATCAATATTATCATAACCCAAAACGCTCAAACGAACATTCGATGAGTCAAAGAGTCACGATCTTTAATGGATATTTTTTTTACGATGTTGAACGGACATAAACCTCATATTAAAAAGATGAGAGACCTTACAAAATTTTATAATATAAGTAAACTACTGTTCTCAGTACCAATTAATTTTGAGATGAAACTCATATCAATATTGATTAATATTCATTTTCGTGTTTGGAACTAAAATTTTTTTTTGACAACCTTTTAATTTTTAGAAAATAATTTTTTTGCTTCTGATTTGGCAAAATTTTAATTGTGGTCAGCAATTAAGTATTGTTATTTATTTAATTTATGATCTCCCCTCTCATAAGCTGATCATAAGCATGGGCCCTTTGGAACTAGGTTCTTGATTGGTTGTGATTATTCCTTTAATTTAAATTAGCATAAATTGGTTCTTCTTAGTTTACGAGAAAAATAATGCTCGCTTTTTAGTGTCAATATTAGAATTAATTTAAGATGTACTTTGATTTGATGTATATATTTTTAGTGTCAATATTAGAATTAATTTAACATGTACTTTGATTTGTTATATATACANAATTTGACAGTTATTCTATCCTTTCAATGTTATATTTAATTGGTATTTATATTTTTAAAAAATATATAATAAACCTCTAAACTTTTAATTTAATTTTGTGTTAACTTTCAATTTTGTGTCAATTAATTTTCTAACTTATGCGAGGCACCTCTTAAAATTAAAAAATGATTTAAATATAATTCTTAAAGTTCATGACCAAACTTGTAATTTAACTTTTTTTTAAGATATTTATCTAATTTTTTAATAAAGAATAACACATCAATAAATTAGGGGAAAAACATGGTAATCAAAAAATAAATTAGGGAAAAAAAAGAGCAAGTTGTCTGAGAGAACATTCTAACAAAAGAAAAACTTTTACAAAAGCGGTTTTTGAATATTATTTCATCCGAAAAGAAAAATCAACAATTTTTTAACTCAAATCTCGAAAGAGTCCCTTATTTGTTTGTTTGTTTTTTTTAATACTAATTTGAAAATGTTAAATCAAATTAGATTATGTAATCGATAAATCACTGACAAACAAAACTATTTAAAAAAAAAAACAGATCATCAAATGCACTTTTAAAACTTTCTCCTTCTTGAAAAAAAAATTTAATAAATTACGGTAATGAAGCACTAGAATCTAAGCACAAAGAAAAACAAGAGATCAAAAAGTCAAAAGAAAACTTCCAATTTTAACACTTTACCTTCCTAATTTGCTGCGGGGAGAGAGAATACCTAAAAAAATGCTGATGAAAGAGAGGGAGAGAGAAGTAAATTAACGGCCCTATAAAAAATTATCACTTTTCAAAAAGTTAAGCAGAAATTATCACTTTTCAAAAAGTTAAGCAGGTACGACTAAGGAACATATTTTTGACCATGAGGTCATGAGTTCTAATACCCACCCGTACATGTTCTACTAATTTTCTTTTTTGAAAAAGGATTAATGAAATAGAGAGTGAAGTAGATTAAGGCGTAGGGATTCTTTTGGAGAATTAATTAATGAGGGTTTGTATTTTTTATTTTTTTTTACAAAAGAAGTGGGAAACTTTTGCATTTAAGGTAGCAAAATGGAGAAAATAGTTGAAAGGGAATTTCTTGGAGAACCTTCCCCCAAATCATAACTTATAAGACACACACATAAAGGAACTTACCATATAAAGAGATGCTTTGAGGGCTCAAAGCATAAAGGGAACTCCACCAAAGCCCTAGTGCTTAGTGGTCACTTCAATTTCTATAAAGGAGATTCAAAATTTTCCAAGTTTGGCAAATCCCAATCAACTTCTATTCCTTTCCCTAACTAGAAAACTATTATACTCTTTTTTATACACAAATTCTTCTCTCATGTGATCATTCTAAACCCATGTTCCTCTTGGGCTTTTTGGTCATTTTACCTGTGTTTTTGTTTCGGAACGGAATCGAATGACTTGTAAAGGTCCACTCAAGTTTTATAGTGATAATTGAGTTTATATTACGTGCAGGACTATGTAGATGTTGAAAGATTCACCGTTGAGTTCAGTAACTTGTAGAAGAAAGTGTTGAAGTTAAACTTGGACGACCAAGTAGGAAGTTTTGTAACGGAAAGCGAGTGAAAAAATCCAATAGAGTTTTGATGTAAGAATAAAAAAAAACTTATTTAAATAATTTCGTAGATGGTAAAGTTGAATTTGAGTGAATCTCTCGATAAGGGACGAATCAGAAACTTAATTACCTCCGGATCTTGCATGCGATCATGGTATTAAATATCCACATTTCCATATATTCATAGGGTTTGACATTGATATCAGAGACAAATYGATACTTTTCATAATATTAAAAAATAAAAAGAATCGACCAAACGTAAAAAATATCAACAAAATCTCATTAATATATACATAATATTAATATTAATTATTTTAAACTTATTTAAAAATGATGAAATGTTTATTCGCTCATTTAAATATTTTTTTTAAAAAATTTATTTTTATAATATTTTCATAAATATTTATTGACATCGACATTTTATCGATACTACCATGAAATTGAGATCTCGACATTTTTATCAAGTATATCAACATTTAAAATCTTGGATGTGATAGAGTTATGACATGCTTGGGATAATTTTTTTTCATTAATCAAGCTAATAACAGTTGGCAGATAAAAGTTGTTTTGGAGCTTACCCAGCATGAATTTCTGAACCTATTGTGTCTGAGTAGGTGGGCTAAGGATAGCTCTCACATGTGCAAAAAAGAAAGATGGAAGTATTGTTTAGGTCGAGTTTAGACCGTTCAAGTCCAAATTACTAAAACAATACAAAATACTATATATATATATCAAAACAATATACAATATATTATTATATTTGACCTATTGGACCATACGATTCAAATGAGTTAGATCTAAAACAAAGATCTATATTCAATCCAATTAATGGAAAATTGGGATTGGATTGAGGTGGTCAAATATTGACTTTATGTGTAGCTTGGATTAGACTTAGGCTGAATTTGGATTGCCCTTTGAACTTCGAGTCCAATGATAAAGCTTACGTGAACATATATCGGAGTCACATTGATAAACTAAGACGATTATAATGTGAACGGTAGTAATTAAAACAATAACAATGATAAAAATAATTAATTTTTAAAGTTCAAGAATTAAAATGTAGGAAGAGAAATAGTTGTTTCTTAATATTTCAAAACTAAAACTAAAATATGAGTTCTAGTAGTTCAAGGTACTGAAATAAAAAAAAATAATGATTAAAATGAGGCACCAATCTAAACCAAAATTTTAAACGGAATGAATATATATAAATTTATTCGGGTTGGATCAGATTGTAATTTCAAAACTAATCTAAACATTCAGATATCTTAAAATGTAATTCGAATCTAAAGAATTTATTCAACTCAACCTAGCCAAACCCTTGCGATTTTAATTGGATTGTTCTGTTTTTTCGGGTTATCGGGTCAAACTCCTCCCCACAAAACACCATTTCCATAGAATCGGATCCAAGCCCTTGCTGACCGAGACGGCCCGATTCTTCCCACCTTGTTGGGCACCGAGAGCCGAAATCTTCTCTCGCCTCTGCCACCGCAAGTACCGTTGTCTTTCTTCCCATTTTCTTTTGAAATTGGAATAAAAAAATCCTGCAGCATCATTTGGCTGTTCATGAATCGCGCTAAAAACAAGAGCTCGAACACAAAGACAACGATGCCTCACCAGCAACCTATTCATGTACATTTTTTAAAGCTAAATCGCAGAGATTCCCCCCATTTTCTCTTCCTTTTTCTGGGCGGGCATAATTTCGACCCGAAATGGCCGGAGGAGTGAACCGGAAGATATCGGCGGCGTCGGCCAGAGCTCACACGAGGAAATCAGAGCAGAGCCTTCCCTCAGGTGGGATTTTGTTCCTTTTTGGTTTTTCGAAACTTTGGCTTTTGAATTTTACTGGGTTTTGATCTTTTAGTCCTACCTTTCTTTTTGTTGGTAATGTTATTGGGATATGTTTGAACTTGTTGAACTGCAGATTCTAGGACATTATTTTAACGCTTACCTCAATTTGGAGGTTTAGAAATTTAGCAAGAGCATGTTTGGTTACTTTTGCCATGCTCAAGAAGCAATTTCTACCTAAAATCGTCATGTTGGAGGTGATTTATAAGTGCATTTAGAGAAAGTTAAAAGCACTTAGAAGTACTTTTTAAGTTCTAAGAGTGTAGGAGGAAACATCGAAGTGATTTGTCATTAAACGCTTTTTACTAGAAGCACTCTAAAACGTACCTAATGAATATTAATTGAAGAGGAAATTACATTACAACTTTTGACATAGGGTCTTGATTCTATTAAACTATTACTAAACTCAAAAATATAAGCTGATAAGTTAGGTAAGTTTAATCTTTTATGCATTTTCTTAATAGAACTTCATGTGAAAACAATATCTTGTTTCAGGGATGTTAAGAAAACTGCTGGGGCTTCTCTTTGTGGGATTTTCGGCGCGGTTCTATCTAGCAATTCAGCCTCCTCCTCCCAAGATATGTGGCTCACCTGGAGGCCCTCCCATTACATCACTAAGAATAAAGCTCAGAGATGGAAGGCATTTGGCATACAAGGAGCATGGTGTGCCAAGAAACAAAGCCAAGTACAAAATTGTCTCAGTCCATGGCTTTGATTCTTGCAGGCATGACACTGTGGCCGCCCGAGTCCTTGCTCCGGTGCATTTCGATGGTTTTCCCTCTCTATTTGAATACATTCAAACTTTTATGTGAGAATTGTGCTGGAGTTTGACTGTGTAGAGTTTTCTCAGGAACTTGTTGAAGGCTTGGGAATCTACATTGTGTCTTTTGATAGACCTGGTTATGGAGAGAGCGATCCCGATCCAAAGAGAACGGTGAAGAGCACGGCTATGGATATAGCAGAGCTTGCAGATCAATTAGCATTGGGATCCAAATTTTATGTTATTGGAGGTTCCATGGGTGGGGAGATAGTTTGGAGCTGCCTGAAGTACATTCCAAATAGGTACTAGCTCTATTCAAAACTGAAGAGAAAGAAACTAAATTTTACTATTCTGAAGATAGGTTGATTGTACTGTTTAGACTGTTCCTTTTCGCATAAGGCGATATAGTAATGAGAAAATGTGATTCTAATAGGCTGGCAGGGGCGGTACTAGTCGCTCCGGTCATCAACTACTGGTGGTCAGATCTTCCTGCCAATTTATCTAATGAAGCCTACTACCAGAAACCACTGCAAGACCGATGGGCTCTTAGTATTGCTCACTACACTCCTTGGCTCACGTACTGGTGGAATACTCAAAGATGGTTTCCTGCTTCAAGTTTTATCGCTCACAATCTCGACGTTCTTTCCCCCGAGGACAAAAAGCTCATTCCTAAGCTCTCGTTTAGAAAGGAGTATGTGGTATGCATTTTGATTTTTCCGTTTGACAATATCGTTTCGTCTCTACTCTCAATCCAAACTTTCTATGTCGTCTGCTATATTATATCTATTCATCCCTCTGTCTCAATTCTCTTCCTGTGGAGAAACAGAGAGATCGGTTATATAGAAGAGTTGATAAAAGATCAAACCTTATCTTTGGTCTTTGAACAACTCGTTGTATATTGATCATAAATTGCAACAGCTACTAGAGGCTCTCGTCCCGCCATTCAGGCATTGCCTGTTGTCCTTTTATGGCAAACATAATTCAGCAGAACCGGAGATGACTCGGTACGAACTTTATATGGGATGAGACTTTCTTGATCACAAGTTAAATGAGTACAGTTCTAGACTCCCTCCTTGATGAGCCCCAACCTTCAAGCTGGATTTCTCTTTTTGTTGCATTCCTGATCCTTCGAGAACTGAATTTCTAATCATCAACATTCGGGTTTCGGGTTTCGGGTTTCGGGTTTCGGGTTTCGGGTTTCGTCGTGTGACTACATATCATATGATAAAACAATCGACAATTTTCTGAATGCGGTTTTGCAGGCTCAGATTAGACAACAAGGTGAATATGGATCCCTCCATCAGGACCTGAATGTTGGATTTGGCAGCTGGGAGTTCAGTCCTCTGGACCTAAAAAATCCATTCCCTCACAATGACGGGTCGGTCCACGTATGGCAGGGAGACGACGACAGGGTTGTGTCTGCTAAACTGCAGCGTTACATCGCCAAAAATCTCCCCTGGATTCACTACCACGAGGTACCGGGTGCCGGGCACTTGTTCTCTTATGCTGATAAAGTTTATGATTCTGTCATCACTACTCTTTTACTTTCATAAGCGATCACTACTCTTTTACTTTCATAAGTGAGCAAATATCAGCATTTTCCAATCTTGTGGGATTTTAGTGAGGTCTGTTTCTTGTACAAATGCTTTGAGATGCTGTTGTATATAAGAATGCCATAGCTGCTTTATTTTCGCTATAGTGTCAACTTGGACTCTGGTTTATCTTCTTTAAACTTGCCTCACTGAAGGACTTTTTTTTTTTTTTTTTTAAAATCTAAATACTATTTTGTTTGTGTACTTTTTACTTTTAGTTTTGTATTTTGAAAATATTCATTTTAGTTCCGGTATTTTTAACTTTTTTCAATATTCTAGAAATGTCTATTTTGGTTATTTTTTTAAGGGGCTCGTTATTGTCGAATTTTAACATAATTTTATAAATAATGAAATTCTAATTCTAATTTATAGCTATATTTTAAAAAGTTTAGTGAGTGAAGTGTCATGTTGAAATTAATAACGGAAAGAAATGAGATAAAAATTGAAAACAATATGATCAAAATGATATCTTTTTAAAAGTATAAGGATAAACGTTTCGGGAGTAACTAAAATGAACGAAAGTTGAAAAAAAAATGAACGTTTTGAAAGTAAATTTATTTAATTGAACTAAAGTTGACGGTACAATGACAATAGTGGTTTTGCTTTTGGTTTCATCTAAAAAAGCATCTCAATTCTATCTCATTTATATATTTATAATTTTCTCATTCTCCAAGACTATACTACTTGTTTACACGCTTCTTACAAATCCAACATGATACATATAAATAAACATTAAGGGCACATTTGATAATCATTTCGTTTTTCGTTTTTGGTTTTTAGTTTTTTAAAAATATAGTTATTTGATAATCAATTCAATTTTATGTTTTTTGTTTTTTTAAAAACCATTTTGAATTTCTATTTAAATTTCGAAAAGAAAAAAAAAGTAATTTTCAAAAACAGATTTATATTTTTCAAAATTTGATTTTTTCCTTTAAATACTCGTCTTTTTTTTCTTTCTCATATTTTTTTCTAAAATTTTTTTTCTGACTCTAAATTTTTTTTCTTTTTAAATATCTCTACAAAATTTATTTTTCTCTCTCTGAAATTTTCATATTTTGAATATTTATTATTATTTATTTCTCTCACCCCAAATTTTTCATCTCTATATTTCTATTTTTTATTTTTTCTCTCTCTCAAAATTTAATATTTTTTTCGAATTTTTTTCTTTTTAAAATTTCATATTTTATAACTTTTCTTTTCTTCCTAACCTATTTTTTCCACTGAAATTTATATCTTATTTTCTCATTTAATTTTCTTTCACTATAACTTTTATAATTTTCTTTCACTGTAATTTTTATTTATCTCTATATTTATTTATTTTCTCTAAAAATTATATTTTGAATTTTGTTTTTATCTTTACATTTTTTCAACTGTAATTTTTCTCATTCTTTCTAATTTTTTTCCTTTAACATATATTTTCTTCTCAACTTTACTTTTTTTCTCTAAAAATGTTTCTCTTTTTGTCTTTATTTATTCTTTCACTAATTTTGTTTTCTAAATTTTTTTATTTATCTCTCTAAAATGTATCTTCCAAAAGTTTATTTACCTCTATTTAAACGTGTATTAGATGACAAAAATTTCCGCAAGGGCGGGTCCCAAAAATAGGAAATGCATGTTTCGACCCCGTCCCCAATTCCATTTTTAAAATAATTAATATATATTTATTACACTTTCTTTATTTTTAAAATTCTACAAACAATTATAAAATCAATAATTTTTCTGGAGAACATATCTCAGACCGAATAACGTGGTGGAGACGGGGATTAAAAATTTTCACGAACTTGAGAATGAGGGAAAACATCCTCACTCGCACCCACACCATTGTCATCTCTACTCTACATATAATTTTCTCTCTCTAATATGTATTTTAAAATTTTTAACTTTTTAAAAACAGAACACTAAAAATGGTTTTTTGGTTTTCTGTTTTTTAAACAAAAAAAATAAAAAATTGTTATCAAACAGATATGATTTTTGTTGTTTAAAAACAGAAAACCAAAAACCAAAAACTAAAAATAGAAAAAACAAGAAACAAAAAACAAAAATTATTATCAAAACGGATCCTAAATAATTCAATTTAGTTTTCAATTAAGATTTCTATTAGATATTCAATAGAAAATTAACATAAAGTTTTAAAATTTAAAAGATAAAATGAAAAATAACAATAGAAGTATGGAAGCCTATATCAAAACTTCTAATTCTGATAACTAAATTTGATTTACTAACCAAATAATAATAATAAAATGGGAGAAGAAAACCACAACTAAAACTCTCTCCCTACCGAAGTTTTCACTATAAATCTTTTGGATAAATTGTATTGGGCAGCCGAATTTTTATACATATTTACAAAAATATAACCCTCTTTTGTATTTTGTAAATATAGCAAAATATTTTTAATTTATAATATACTAAATATATTTCTAATTGATATACCTATGTATATCTTATCTAATATATATTCGATGTATCTCTAATGTATATTTGATGTATATAAGTGGTATACTAAATATATTTGTAACTGCTATACTCAATATAATGTGTATCAAATGTTTAATTTTAAGTGGTATATCAGTTGTTTAAATTGTAGTTTATCACTGCAATTTTTTTTTTGATATATTAATATTATCAATAATTTTGATTGCTATATCCACTATCTAATTTATATTAATATTAATTAAATACTAAATATAAGAGATATCAGATGTTTAAGTTTATAAAGTATATCAAACTTTTAACTTTTTTTTTGGACGTCCGTGGTCCACATCAATCTTTTGTGCAATAATTTTAGATTTTTTTTTTACACCATTGTTTTCATTTGGAAAAATTAGTGGATATATTAGATTTATACCAACACATAGATAGCTAGTTATATTAGTAGATATCATAGTTATATCAATGGTAAATTATAGGCATATTAAGTATATATCACAGATGCATCAATGTTGTATTAGTGATAAATCATATAAGAAGTTATATCGGTAGATATCATAGTTATATCAGTGGTAAATTAAAGGCATGTCAAGTATATATCACATATATATTAGCATGGTAAATTATATAATCATATAAGAACTTATATTAGTAGAAAACATAGTTATATCATACGTATATCAATGGTAAACCATATTAGAAGTTATATAAGTAGATATCATAGTTATTTCAGAAGTAAATCAGTTGTGTATTCGTGGTATATCAAAAGCATATCAATTATATATTACATGTATATCCATGRTAAATCAATAAACAATAAATAATATAATCATATAAGAAGTTATATTAGTGATATATCGGTTGTATATTAATAGTAAATCAGGGGTATATCAAGTATATATCAGTACTACAAGGGTAAAATTGTCATTTTATTATTGGATCTCCATTTTTTCTAAAAATTTTGCTATATTTGAAAATCTAAAATTAAGATGCTAAATTTGTTATTTCCTTAAAAATTTTTTTGCCATATTTATAACTGACCCAATCTTTTAAATCCAAAAAATGACTGTATCTTAAAAGTCCATACCATCCAATAAAAAAAGTTCAAATATTATTTTGTCATGCACTTTTCACTCTGATTTATTTCTGTATTTTTAAATGATGTTTATTTTAGTTTTTGTACTTTCAAAATATCTTATCCTTTCTTAACGTTTGTTTTTTTTCATATATTTGTAAAACGTATCTATTTTAATCTATTCATTTTAATTTTTATCTTATTTATTTTAATCATGGAATATTTTAAATCTTTTAAAACATAGTCATAAATTTGTATTAAATTCTTTTTGATGGTTCAAATTTTACAAATATAAATCAAAATATTAACTTTTTAAAAGCACAAATAGTGCATAAACTAAAATAAATATAAAAATAATATAAAAATCACATTTAGAAACACAAAAATCAACTGGAAATAATATTTAAAGCAAAAAAAAAAATTTAAAGATTTTCCAAGATCAGATTGTTGTAAGAAGAACAAAAAAGAATTATATTATCTTGACAATTACAGCACGGAAACCATCTTCGTTCTTGTCTTCCACGCTCTCACTTTACTTTCAGATCTTTCCGTCGATCTCTTCGAAATTCGGGGCGAGGTCTGGTCAGCGGGTGGCCGAGGGCTCTAATGGCGGGCGGAGTGAACAGGAAGATTTCGGCAGCTTCTGCCAGAGCTCATACAAGGAAAGCTAAGAGGAGCAGTTCCCCGATTTCTTCAGGTGGACTACGACTATCTCCATTTTTCCATTTTTCTCCACTGCTTGATTGAATTTCTAGGTTTTTGTATTCCCGTGTTAATTCCCTGCGTTATTGCGTTGATCGTACATCTAGTTGGAACTAGGAAGAATCGTACTTCTCGGTTTGTTTTTTGTTCGTTTGACTAAGGTATAATAATGACCAAGTTCGACTTAAGCTGAAGTTTGTCGTGTGGTTTTCAATTCGTAGGCCTTAACTTTTCATTCTCCATTTTTTGTCGACACATCAAGCTGGCGATACGTTCTTGTTATTCCCTGTTATTAATTGGTATGTTCGTGATTTCTTCAAAATTTCCCGCCAATTGTCAGTTAACCATAAGAGGAGTAGTATGAGCCGATCTCAAGCACTGAACAAGTTGGCATGTTACGTTTGATTTTTGACCGTTTGTGTCATGGAGAAGTGGCTTATTGTCTGAAAAAGCACTTGCTCCCTATCTATTGGCCGATTTCTGTATCTCTTCAGAGTTTGACCTAGTTTATAACCTGAATTCTTGGAGGAGCACCGAGGCATTCTCTTCCTTCTCTTGTTTTATAATGATTTTTGACCTTTTGCGTAAACACAACAAAGGTTTTTGTTTGTATGATTATCGACCTATAAGTGCGAAGTTTCCCGAACTGTACCATGAATTTTTGAGCAGTTGCTTCATAATTCATTAATTTAACTCTAGATACAATCATTGCAGAGTTTGTATTATTATCGACATAATAAAAGGCATAAAAAAACTCGGAAGTTTTTTTGCAGACATTTGATTGGCACGATCTTGTCAAAATCCTGGACTTGTCTTTGAACTTCCCTAGAGTAGCCTCACTTTTATAATCACTTTGCATGGCCTTGTCTCCCGTGTCATTTAACAGACTAAATGAGTCATTGAGCAAAATGAAGAGACTAGTCTTAGTTGGAGTGAGTTTTTGTAAGCTTCTTCTTTTGGGCTTCTTATGCATTCTTTTTACACTGTCAAGTGTCAATGAAAAGTTTGAGTTTCCTGTTAAAAAAAAATGACATGCAAAACTAATCTATAATATAAATACAATGGAATCTTTTTAGTTATTTAATTTGAGTTGATTCAGTTTAATTTAAGTTAGGAGAACCATAAACCAATCCAACCTGTACAAGTTCAAGTTATCTGACCCTAAACTGCCCATTCAAGCCCATTATCTATTCAACACCACTTGCCTCAACCATGAACTAGTTGGGGCTTGTAGTGGTGCTGTTTGTGTAAACGTGCACGGAAGATCTTGATCATATCTTCTGCAGTTGCGAGTTTCCTCAAGCTCTTTGGAATGGATGCCGGGGTTGTTTAGGATCTGCTGGGTGTGGAATGGGGATTATAGTTCTATGATGGAGGAGGTTCTTTCAAATCCTCCTTCCTGTGAGAAGGGTAGATTCTTTTGGCAGGCTAACTTTTTGTCATGTTGTGGGGTATTTGACTTGGGAAGAATGATAAAATCTTTAGAGGTAGAGAAAGGTCTGGGGAGAGGTTTTGGAAGTTGTTAGGTTCAATACTTCCTTATGGGCGTCTTTAACTCGACCATTTTTTACTAGCTAGGGCGTATTCTTTTGGATTGGAGTCCATTTTTGCTTAGTTAGGTCTTTGGCTACTTTGTGGGGCTTGGTTTTTTCCCTTAGTATATTCTCTCATGTTTCTCAGTGAAAGCTTGGTTTTTCATAAAATTAAAAATAACACACCACTTGCCTCCTTTGCCGGGACCTGTTATGATTTACAGCCATCTTGTGATCCATCAGTACAATCTTATCTGAGTAGATATGGTTGTTCATCTTTCTACATATTTTAGATAATTCAACTTGTTGTAGAACACATGGTATGACTGATCTTCTCTAATTATTTGTTCTTTTTATTCATTTATTTTTTATTTGCTCTAAAATTAAAAACGATACTGTTTTTACCCTCCATGTATCTACTGGCTCTTCTTATAAGAACTCAAAATTGCAGGATTGATAAGGAATATAGTAGTGCTGCTCTTTTTTGGGTTCTTGGCCTGGGGTTATCAGGCAATCCAGCCTCCAGCACCAAAAATATGTGGCTCCCCCAATGGCCCCCTTATCACAGCACCAAGAATAAAGCTTAGAGATGGGAGGTATTTGGCGTATAAGGAGCATGGGGTTCCAAAAGATTCAGCTAAATACAAAATCATTTTTGTCCATAGCTTTGCTTCTTGCAGACACAATGCCATCGTTGCAAATACCATCTCTCCAGTATGATTTATATTTCATCATTGTTCTGAAAAGGTTTCTGAGCGTTTAAATGTGATCAGTCTAAATTTCAAACTCTATTGACGTCTTGCAGGACATAATTGAAAATTTAGGAGTCTACATTCTATCGTTTGACAGATCTGGTTATGGAGAGAGTGATCCAAATCCAAAACGAACTGCAAAAACCATTGCTTTTGATATAGAGGAGCTAGCTGATCAATTGGGACTAGGGTCGAAATTCTATGTCATTGGATTTTCCATGGGTGGCCAGGCAGTTTGGAGCTGTCTAAAGTATATTCCTAACAGGTCTGAAACCACACCATGAAACAAATGTCAAGAATTGTCTCCTGTAAAAAAAAGAAAAAAAAAGAAGAGAGAGAATAAACAAGAAGATGCAGGGCAGGGATAGTGATTTATCTATTTATTTGTTTATTCTTATATGTCAAGGGTTTAAAATGATTATTTTAAAATACTAACAGGCTAGCAGGGGCAGCGCTATTGGCTCCAGTTATTAACTACTGGTGGCCTGGGCTCCCTGCAAACGTAACAAATGGAGCCTTCTACCAACAGTTTCAGCGGGATCAGTGGGCAGTTCGTGTTGCTCACTATACCCCCTGGCTTACCTACTGGTGGAACACACAAAGATGGTTTCCTTCTTCTAGTGTTATTGCAACTAGTCCTGACAATCTATCTCGTCAAGACAAAGAACTCCAGTCCAAGCAAGTGGGAACGAAAGAATGTGAGGTATGTGACTTTTCTTTATGAAATTCTGCTTTCTTCTTTTTCTGATCTTATCTTATTCAACACGGCTGTATAAAACAATAAAGATGGTTCAAAATGAAGGTTGTGCAATCAACCCTTTCCAACTTGATATGGCCTTTCCAAGATGTGTTGATTAGGAGGAAGAAACACTGTCAAATTTAAGGTTGCATTACGGTAGGTGATTTCTCAGCCAAATTTGAGAGGTGCAATGAGAGTAAACATGGAAAGATCAACGGCGTACACTCATATGTTGGTTTGGTTGAAGTTAGAAATCTGCCGTATGTTGAATTTTTTTTTTGAACAAGATACGAACTTTTCATTGATAAATAAAAATGAACAAAATTGTTCAAAGATACAAACTCTCATAGGAGTGAAGATAAAGGAAATAAGTAAAAGTAAGCATTAGAAGAAATAAAAATCATAAACTTAAAGAAACCTCCTTAAAGGGGAGTAATAAAAGCCTCCCAATTCATACAAAGCATACTAGGAGAATAAGAAGAGAAGAGATAGGAACAAACACACCATTGGGAAGCTTTGAATTTGGCGATTGAGAAACACTCCATAGGAGATTGATTCTTGCCTTCAAAAATTCGTTGATTTCTCTCAAACCACAATTCGGAAAGAAGAGCTTTTATTCCAAAAGCCCAAAGCAAATTAGTTTTAGAGCTTGCTTGCAGCCCACTGAAAAGTTGAAAAATGATTTGAGGCACCTCCAGATCCCACACTCATGAAACTTCAAACATAGGTAGGAATTTTTTCCAACAGGCCACTGCATGGTTACATGAGAAGAAGACATGCCTTTGGGTTTCCCCACTTGTTTTGCACAGTAAACAACATGATGGCTACATCAAAGAATTGGGCATTTTCTTTTGTAATGTCTTTGAAGTGTTAACTTTTCCCATTAGAAGAATCCAAACCATGAAATTAACTCTCTTTGGACAAAAAGAGTTCCATAGAATAGGTAGTAGTTCCTTAGGAAAATTAGAAACTGAATGCCCGAATTTGCTCAATGATCGAATTGAAAATAAACCTGAAGCTTCTAAACTCCATACTCGATGCTTCTGAATCAGTGATGGAGGTTGAAGAAAGCAAGGATAAATGCAGAGGGCATATTCAAATGCACGAGGAAAATATTAGTCTCCAAAAGATAGCATATTCAATGCACGAGGAAAAAATGCAGAGAGCATATTCAAAGCACGAGGAAAACATTATGTTTGCAAAGCTGTATGGAGGGACATGTAGAAGTAGGGCACAATGATAGGAACCTCAGACCTCTCTCACGTTTTACTATGTTAGGAGAAGCAAGCGTAGGATGGGGTGAGCAGTGAGATGTAATGCAAGGAGTGTGGATAAGGGTAGGAGCTGTCTTTTGTATAAAACGTTAAAGGGTTGTGAAACCAATGGAATGTATGATAGGGGTGGGTATTGTCTATTGTGTTACTCAGGTAATGGTAACTAGGAGATTTTTGTAGCTTGTGAAGAGTGTCAAGCCTCTTGAAGAATTTGGGATTGTCATTGTTTAAATATTTTGCACACAATCCAGATTATCGGTGCCTGGTTCCTGTCATACAACTACTATTATTTCGCCCTAGAAGTGGTGGAGGTAGAATTGAACACCGGGGAAAAGCTTGCAGTGTAGTTAGTGGCTCCATTCTTAAGATAACTATTTCTTTTTACTTGGGAAATTGAGCTTTGGAGAAACATGAAAAAAAATTTATACAAAAAATAGGCCAACAAAAGGATCCAAACTAGAACCTACCTTACAAGAAAGGACTCCAACATAAAAGAATATAGTTTAACTTTTAAGGGATAATTACAAAAATCGTTGGATATTGACGCCCAAAGAGAAGTATTAAATTTAGAAGGGACTAAAACTTTTCTCACGACTTCTCAACTAAAAGATCCTACTATTCCTCCCACGACTTCTCAACTAAAAAATCCTACTATTATCCCAAGCTAAGTGCCCCACAAAACCACGAAAAAACCAACATGCCAAAGGATCTATCTCTTATCAAGAAAGAAGGGAGTCTCTTGCATCATAGAACAGCCGTCTTTGTTTTGAGCCAAGCAAACACCAAACAACTCAAAAGCAATCCCAAATAACCATTCTTAGGATGACTATTGGTCGGAAGGATACAGGAGTTTCAAGGTGGTTTTTCCCTTATAAACAAGGTGTTCTCACCAGAGACAGCACTATGACAAGGAGCGTACGTACTGGTCCAATAGGCTGAGAAAGAATACATGGGGATAGTAACATGGGGGACAGCGAAGGGGACGRAAAGTATTGCGTTGAGCAAAAGGAAAAAAAGGGGAGACAAGATTTCGACATCACACTTGGTAATTATAGAAATTCAAAATCTGGGTGAAAATGAAATGTGCTCTCATTCGCAACACTTAGGTCAGACAAGCAAAGTGAAGAAAATTAAAAAAAGTAACAGGGGTGGAGACACATGTAAACCCACAGATTTGAGCGCGAAAATTCAAGAAGGTGGGATCCACAAAACAAAAAGGTTGGATCTGGAGGGACTTTTTTTGGGATCTACAGGGAGTTTGGTGGTGCGCTTTAGCAGACTAGAGAAAGGAAATTCAGATAGGGAAATAGGCCCCCCAGAGTAGTAGTATTGGAGGAAATGAAATTACTTTGGGAAATCTGGGTAACTTGTACAACATTATTAATGAAGAGGAGGAAATAGTAGAGGGATAAACGGAACTAGTAGTCATGATGGTGAAAATTTTGGAAAAGTTCCAATGAAGATGTCTTGCTTCCATTTGTATTTGCTTAACCGGGAGAGGGAGGGAATGAAGAAAGTTCATGGGAAGAAGTTTGGAAGGGATTAGTGAAGTATGTGAAGAAGTCTGGATTATATCTTACACCAATACCAATGGGAAGAGTTAGAAAAAATAATACTGGTAGAAGGTTGTCATCCTATAGTACGAGAGAGCTTAAGAATTTGATCATAATAGTAACCTCTTAGTACCAAAAACTCTTGATGTCTCTCAAGTCTGGACCTGGACGTGGGTGCCCTCAATTATAGGGGTAAAAAGCTAGTTATTGATTCCGGGTTATCAAAAAATATGGTCATAATAGTAAATTATGATAAAGCTTAAGGAACCAAATGTGTAGAAACTTCAGGGGGCATTAAGTGTAACAATCACATATAGATACTAAGTTGGAACATTGCAGGGTTGGCCGTTTGGAGACTGATCCAAAAGGGCTATTCTTAAGGATTTTACCAAAGAAACCAGTTTGGAAGCAGCATTGCTAATAATGTGGGACGAGACAAGAACCAAGGCAGTTGAAGTTCTTTATTTGGTTTCTCTGAAATATGAGACGGATGGGAAGATCTTTTGGAGACTAATATTTACGGTCCAACAGATCGCAGAGTAAGAAAGAGTCATGGGGAGAAATCAAAAACTTTTCTAGTCATTGTTAGGGAATTTGGTGCTTGGGAGGAAATATCAATTTATTCCTGTTGGTCCTACGGAAAGTTCAACAGGGGAAAAAGGACGAGAAGTATGAGGAAGTTTATTGAGTTGATTAGTTCATAGATGGGCCCTCAAGGATTTAAGATCCCTATTAGTTGAGTCTAACACAGCTTTTGAGAGTAGTGTTTTACCAAAAATGGAAAAAAGTGCTTTACTTGAAATCATCTTAAACTTTCGTAATTTGGTCATCTTGAGCCTCTTTTGGGGATTGAAATAATTCCATCTTACATTACAATTACAATCAGCTGGAAAATACACTGATAAATATATCATATTTCTTTTTCTATTGATGGATGGATGGATGGAATCCTCAGGCTATCTTTAGCCAACAAGGAGAACACGAGTCGATCCACCGGGACATGAATGTCGGATTTGGGAAATGGGAATTCAGCCCTGTGGATCTGGAGAACCCATTCCCAGAAAATGAAGGTTCAGTCCATTTATGGCATGGGGATGAAGACAGGCTCGTGCCTGTAACACTCCAACGTTACATTGCCAAACAGCTTCCTTGGATTCATTATCACGAGGTAGAGGGTGGTGGTCATAGGTTTCCCTATGCTGATGGCATCTCTGAATCCATCATTAAAGCTCTTCTTCTCAACCAGAAATAGGCTTTTTATTATGTCTTCTGCTGAGGTTGGTGGTCCTTCATTACTCCATTTTTTGTCTCTCATCTTTGCTACATTATTTTTATGCTGTTGCTGTCTTCATTTGGCTGCATGGAGTTTTGTTTTTATTTTGAGATGATAATGGATACTTCTCTCCAGTTCTACCCCTACTCTTCTCTTATTCATAGTTGAAATTTAGGGTTGAAAGTGTGTGTGTTTTTGTTTTTGTTTTCTTTTTTCTTTTTAATTAGGTTTAAATATTATTTTGGTCGGATCATTTTAGTCTTTTGATTTATTTTGGTTTTTATACTTTTAGACCATCTTTATATTTTTAGTTTTAGTTTTGGTCTATTTTAAGTCCGTATACTTTTGAAATGTTTATTTTGGTGTACAGTATTAAATATCCGTCGAAATGTCGACATTTCCATGTATCCATGGATTCAACGTCGACATTTAAAATAATTGTTTCAGATTCTCTATTTTCCTTTCTATCTATTTTTTTGTCACAATTTCAACATAATACTACATTTAATAAATTTTTTAATTGTAGCTCTAACTCTGTATTAAGAGTTTTTTTTTTTTTATAGAATTTGTGTTAAAATTTTGTAAATAATGACAAAAAAAAGACACAGAGACTATTGAAATGCACAAATGTTAAAAGTACACTAATCAAAACAAATATTTTAAAAGGTACGTTAACTAAAATGAACTGAAGCTGATAGGATCAAAATAATAGTTAAACTACTTATTTAATATCTTTGAGTGTCAAAGCTAATTTATATCTATTTCCATTAATTTTATGGAACAAATAGCTATATTTTTGTTGTTGTTAGGAATTAATATTTTAATATTCTAAATGGGGACCACATAAAATTTAAGCCCATTTCCCGATTGCCTTCTCTCTCTCTCTAGGGGAGGAAGGGAGAGAAATCTTAGCATTCAACCTATATTATCTTTTTCCATTGGTATATTTATTATATGGTACAATGATTTCAAAGCTCAAATTAAATTATTTCTTAAACTTGGGTTTTGATACTTGAGATTGAGGGAGGGTATTATATGGTAGGCCTTTTTAGTTTCACGATAATTATTAAATGGTTTAAACTTTATGTAAACAAATTCTAGGCAAATTTATAAATAGTGACACGTGGAATTATAATGTAACTTCATTTGTAATGAAATTCATAAGCACACAAAATCTAGATAATAAATAAATGTTGAAGTATGCTTAATCTGAACATATTTTAATAGGTTAAAAGTATATATCATCGGTTAAAGTAAATATCATCAATCTTGAATTCTCACTTCTATCGAGGCGTCATCTTAAGAAAAAATAAATAAAAACACACCCTTTGTTAGTACTGGATGATTTCACAGCTTCATGGATGTGCCTGAGACGTATTTATATACTGAAAGTGTACCTTTTTTTATATATAATTTAGAGAATATTGGAGAAATTGTTCTGACTTGTATAATATAATATTATAATTAACGAGGAAAATTATGATTTTCACATGTCTATTTTAGTCCTACTTTAATAAATCAAATTTTAAATTTTATTTATTTATTTTTATCTTTTTTTATCACAATTTTAATTCAACATTATACTCAATAAATTTCTTGAAATGTAGTCAAGATTTGCATTATAGAGTTTTAATTATATATAGAATGTGTTAAAATTTTATAAATAGAATATAAAATAATTACTTCTCAAAAGTAAAAATAAAAAAAGGTTTAAAAATACATTGACTAAAATAAAAATAGAAAGCAGGAGAATCAAAATAAACAATTTAAAAGAACAATAATCAAAATAAACAAAAATAGAAAGTAGAATAACTGAATAATATTTAAATTAAAATTAAAGTTTTGTATCTATTAGATTTTTTAAAATTAGATGGACTAAATACAAAACTTGTAATTTAAAAGAAAGAAAAATCAGATACCCAATCAAAAAGCAGCACGTGGTTAGACATCAGCTATGGAACTACTTTGATAATTCATGTGACCTAAGTACCCTCTAGGTCACCTTTCTTCTACGTCACAACCCTTACATTACTGTATCACAAACTGCTAAAATTACCCAGAATCTGCCGGTGCAAGAAAACAACAGATCCACGTGGAAGATGCCTATTGGATTCCTACAATTTTACCGTGTGACTGAGCTGCACCGGATCTCCACCCAGCTTAAAGGCAACAACATACGTGTTCGTCTAGGAGAGTCCGGACAGAATAAAAAGAGGTAAAAGAAGCCACGTGTCTTACACGTGTCAATAAGTTTCAGAGACAGGTGAAAAGGGCATGCCCTCCTTCAAATATTCAATATTGAAAGAGAAAAAAAAAGATATATATATATATATATATATATTTTTTTTTTTTACGAAAATTGATTAATAAATAAGAAATAAATAAATATAATTTCTGACTTCGAGGAACTTAGAAGTGTGGGCTCCACCTACCCCTCCCTCTCTCAGCCCTTTCCAGAGCCACTGTCAGCAGAAGGTTACCACTTACCACGAACCCTTTAATTTAGGGTACCGTGTAAAAAATATATATATATACACATACATATATATATATATTATTTATGTATATATAAAGTCTAAATATTATTTGGTCAAAGTTATTTTGGTATATCCAAAACGTCAATTTCGATCTTTATAATTCTAATTATGGTTGGTTTTAGTTTTTTTATTTTTAAAATATCTATTTTAATTTGTATATTTTTAAAAAGTGATTATCTTAATCTCTTTAATATTAATTTTTTATACTAATTCACTAAAATTTTCAAAATGTAGCTATAAAGGTGTAATAAAGAATTTTTATTATATATGTGAAATTTGGGTTAAAATGATATTAAAATGCTCACTTTTTAAAAATATAAGATCAAAACGAACGTTTTCATAATATAGAGACTAAATTAACAAAAAAAAATTAAAAATATAAGAACTAAAATAGACGTTTTAAAAATTACAATGTCGAAAATGAACTTGAGTGAAAAATACATCATTAAAATAAGTTAGTCTCTCGTTTAAAAAATAATTCTGTTTTGTTGTATTAATTTTATTTTTTAGTTAACAATTACTATATATTAAATAATATATGGATTTCGTTTTTAGATAATACGAATTTCAAAATAGTATTTTTTTTATAAAGTTGTGAATTAATGCCGATTCAAACATATAAATATATATTTTTTACAGATTCAATCTTCCTATGCACTTGATGTAAAAAAAAAATCATTATCGACATATTACACATTTTAATCCGTCCATTTTTCTATAATAATAACAAACAACTCCAAGTTTAAAAAGATATTTATTTCATAGGTAAATAATATACCTATTTTATGCATTTTGATATTAAGTTCTAATAAACACCAGAAAAAAACCGATACACGAAGAACAAAAGTGAAAATTTTAAACAAAATGGGAAAAAAAAACTTTAAAAAGAATTAAAAAATATAATAATTAGTTAATAGTCTATATTATATAATAATATATAAACAGACACCCATTTCACTGGAAAGGCCGTAGCTCAAGCCCTTTTCATCCTCTGTTCCTCTCTTCTCCAACCTTCGTATTTCTGCTTCAAAGTTGCAGAGATTCAGAGCTTTGAAAGCTTCGTTAATGGCGGATTCTGTGAGATTGGAGGCTTGATTTTGATTTACTAGCCTCCCGAAGCTTCTTCTCTCAAGCTTCCAGAAGTAGAAGCAGTTTCTCTCTCTCTCTCCTCTCTCTCTCTCTCTCTCTCTCTCTCTCTCTTCATCTTCAGCTTCTCCAATTTCTGGTATTTTTTTCAATGGCTGTTTTATTTCTGCCATTAGAGCTCTCCTAAGCTTTTTGCATTACCATTTTCCTTCCCATTTGAAAATCAATGCAAATAATAATAATAATAATAATAATAATAAAGAACTCAATTTTCTTTTCGAATTAAGCCAAACCATTTGACAACTTTCAAGACTGTGGTTTCTGATTTCCAGTTATGGAAAAAAATATATATGAATAAAGTTGAGAACTTCAAGTTGTTTAGATTCCTCTCTGCTTTCATTGTAGTTTACTTTTAAAGTACTGCTTATTTGTTCCTCAAATATTTTATTTTTCTTCAAATATCAGTGGGGTCTGATGTGGAATAAAACTTTTTTAAAAAAAAAACACACACACACAAAACTTTGGTCTTGTCAAATTTGAAATCCTTACACATTAAATATAACTCCCACTGAAATTGGGGAGGATTATTGTGATGTAATGTTGATGTTTTGGTTTCAATTTTTTTTTCCATAAAAGTCACTCATTTTTTGTAATTTTTCTTGTTACCTCCATTGACAATGCAGCTTCAAGCTCTTTCCAGAAGCAGGAAGAAGAAAATGGTGGTTACAGAATCAGAAATGATGTCACATGATGAAGTTGATTCGCCATTACAATCTGAGCAGCAGCAGATTAAGCACCATGGATTCTCCTCTCTGGGAAGGCAGTCTTCAATTTACTCTCTTACCCTTGATGAGTTCCAGCACACTCTGTGCGAGAGTGGCAAGAACTTTGGCTCCATGAACATGGATGAGTTTCTCACCAGCATCTGGACGGCGGAGGAGAATCAGGCAATCAACGCCGGCCAGAGCCAGACGGCGGTGGCGGGGCTCGGCAATGCTCAGGCTCACTTTCCGGTGGCCGGAGCGTCGGCCGAGAAACGCAACATAGAGAAGCAAGTGAGCCTGCCGCGGCAGGGCTCGCTTACTCTGCCTGCACCCCTGTGCAGGAAGACTGTGGATGAGGTTTGGTCGGAGATTCACAAGGCCCAGCAGGGGCAGAATCAAAATGGTAACGATGGCAATGCCAACTCTCAGAATCCGAAGTCTGCCCCGCGCCAACCGACGTTTGGGGAGATGACATTGGAGGACTTTCTGGTCAAAGCCGGGATCGTTCGCGAACACCGCGGAGCAGAGGTGGGAATGTCGCAGTCATTACTGCCGCCCCAACAGTATGGTGTGTACCAGAATAGCAACCACACCATTGGTGCTGGTTATGTTTCTGGGTCTATAATGGGACTCAGTACTTCCGCCGCTAGTGGTGGTGCTAGTGGTGGTGCTACCGGAAGTGGCGGTGGCGGTGGCATTACGACATATCAACCAGTCCCCCAAGGTGGTTCAGCCATTGGAGATACATCAGGGTATGCTGGCAATAGCAAAAGAAACAGTGTTTATTCATCACAGCCTCCGCCTGCAGTTTGTTACGGTGGAAGAGTGGTGAACGGCGGTCGGGGTGGTGGCGGTGGAGGAGGATATCCGCCTGCTCAGCCGATGGGGATGGCGGGGCCTGTAAGTCCGGTTTCCCCCGACGGAATGTGCACAAATCAGGTAGATAGCTCAAATCAATTTGGGTTGGACATGGGTGGATTGAGAGGAAGGAAGAGGATAATTGATGGGCCAGTTGAAAAAGTTGTGGAAAGGAGGCAAAGAAGGATGATTAAGAATAGGGAGTCTGCTGCAAGGTCAAGAGCTAGAAAACAGGTCCATTTGTCTTTCCCAAGTGTCATGTTTTTCTGTTTGGTAGTTCAATAAAATGGCAAGCAATTGTAACTGAGATGCATTTTTTCCCCTGCATTGAAATAGGCGTATACAGTAGAATTAGAAGCAGAGTTGAACCAATTAAGAGAGGAAAATGCCCATCTTAAGCAGACATTGGTAAGCATCGTGTGATAAATTTTGATATCTAAGATAGAAATTGTCTCCTATTGTAATTCTAACAAGATTTTATGCTCTTTTTTGTATTGGAACATTGATAGGCAGAGCTAGAGAGGAAGAGAAAGCAACAGGTACCTCTTTTAAGAACATTTGCCTTTTAGCAGTTGTTGGATTGTAGGATAGAATTGCATGACATTTCCTTCAGATATGAAAAATGCAGGGTTGGTATAATATTCATCTGCAACTTGTTACATAACATCCTTTAAACATCTGTGTTTCGTGACGTCGGTATCAACTGTGATAAAAGGTTGCAGATTTGCAGTTGGGTCCTAGTTTTGCAGTCTTTTATAGATTGTAATTCCCTCAGCATCTTTCTAAATCGGTAGAATTTGACTTGGTTACCTTAATACTAACATTCTATGTCGTTAGAAACCAGGAGCTGCATCAAGCTATCGATCAGTTGATCTGTTGTGGTTTCTGGATCTTACTCTGCTGTTTCCCTCCCTTTGCAGTACTTCAAGGAAACAAAGAATGTTCAAACGAAAGCCCAGAGAGCCAAGGAGAAGCTTCGTGTTATGAGGAGAACTTTGAGTTGCTCGTTGTAAAAGCAGATGTTCAAATTTTCTGGCTATGGTAAAGGCAAAACATGAAAAACACACTTTAGTAGTTAGCAGGAAACTTATCAAAGGTTCACAGAGAAACCACGTGCAAGCCGCACCTCAAGAAATCGGCATCTGTCAAGCACAAATTTGAGCTGCTTGTCTTCTTTTCTCCAGGCGACTCAAATCAGAGTCACACTGGTGAATGGCCTAGTACAAGATTTGACTCTGTTTTCTAATGTGTTTGTTGAGGTGTTGTAATGAAGTAGTTAAGGCAAAATCTGCACAAAATCTGCTAGATCTTCAGGTCTTTGTGAGCCATAAAAAATTAAAATAGAGAGAATCACCGTTATCATATCATATTTGATGGGGTTTGTTTCAAATTCTGATTGTGCTCTCAAGAGGGTGAAATGTGCTCTCGTAATCTCATCTATGTGGGTTCTGAAATTCTTTTACATTTCTCATGGTTGGGGACAATCTTGTTAACCTCAAAATCAATCAAAACCAATATAATTTCGTCTCTACTCTAAGACTCTTCACCTGACACCCACATGTACGGTAAAAAGGGGCAGGAAAGAAGAACAACTTTTTGGCATTGGCATATCCATGACACCAAACTAGGCAATAAATGCATACAAAACACAAGTAACCAAGAAGTAGAAAACAGGGTTTTACCTGTACACGCCAGGAGAGCTGATGATGGCGGATTAGACATCTGCAGAGGACTTTGGTCCAGGAGCGCAGGATAAATGTCAGCCAGGAACCATAATTCCATGCAGTAAGGCCACAGTAATGAGACTATCGATGTTAAAAATGGGACCACAATGTCATCCACCAATACATTTTTCTTCTGGAATCTCAGGAATACGGGCCAAAGGCAAAGCAGAACACTGATAAACATAGCAAAAAAAATCAGGAAGAAATAGTAGTAAGATGGTAAGGAAAATAAACAAATCTCATTGTTTCATAGGGTACATGGATTTACAACTGCTTCAAGTTAAATAGAGAAGAAAGCATAATTTTCAGAACTGTGACCATAATGATAACTGTGGTGATAATTTACCTAAGCAGCCACAAATGCAGGGACCTAAATGCTATTCGAAATCGAACTGGACCTCAATATGAAGATATTTTCTCATAAGCTGAACGAAAGACGTGGTGAATTGTGCTAAGGTTTGGCATTCCTCATGGGTCTTAATTTCCGATACAACTCCACTGATTATCAATTTCTTCAACTTGGGACATATTTCTATAAGTTTCACCACCCAGTTAATGTCACTCCAACCAAGTTCTAATATGGTTACATTCTCCATCCGAGATGATCTCTGCAAGTTATGATGAACGGCTCCATGTTTTAGATCATAACTTAAAGATAAATGGCTTAACTTAGGGAAAGAGATAGAAATTGTGTCCAAATCCACAACTTCATCATCATCATCATCAAATGCTACACCCCACAGCCGGAGCTTTTTCAACATCGATGCCTTTGAGATCGTATGGTAGAATTTCGGCCACATGATTGTAAAATTGCAGACATCCACAATTTCAAGATTTTCAGTGTTCTCGCCAATGTCGAGATGGATAACACTAGCATCATCAATCTTCAGAACCCTTAAGGCTCCTTTGCCAATCAGCTCAAAGAAATCGAGTATACAATCTCTCAGATGTAAAATTTCAAGGATATCAGCCTGCAGTGTGAACTTATCTAAACTAAGTCCTTCAACAAAGACATCCTTCAATGAAGAACTGCTAAGTTCAATTGTTGGCTGCGCATCTGACATCACAACTTCTGGGTTGATTAGAGCTAACTTTTCAAGCTTTGGACAAGCAGTGAGAAGAAGATTCAAGTCTAATGCAGATATGCCGATATCACTAAGTGATAGAGATTTCAAGCAAGGGAACTTCTGATAAGTTGGCTCGACACCAGTTATCGAATTATTTGCCAATTCCAATGTTTCTAATTTTTGTCGGCCACACTTCTCAATGATATTGACGCTTGGGGTAGTTTCCACATTATAGTGTAGTCGACAGAGTGTGTCTCTCGTATACATGAGCCAAGCAATAACTGAGGAAGCTGAGAATGCATCAAAATCATCCATAAAAACGGACAAATTTTGGAGTCCAGTGGTCTGAAGTATAGTTTGTGTAATAATAATTTCCAAGGTACTCGTCGAAAGATCATGAGGAATTGGCCAATCGTTCGAGTTGAAGGTAAGAGTATGGAGGTGATTCCGCCAAGCCTCTCTCCATTTCTTACAAGTTGCAGAAGCGATCACCACATCTCGGGCAGCTTTTAGATGAGAAAGTATGTTTCCAATAACTTCAACTGGAAGGTGTTCCATATCCAACCGGAGCAGCACAAAATGAAGACCCCGTACGACTGATATCACCGCAATTTAGGGAAGATCATGAACTCTGATAGAAGCTGGACCGATAATTGACAAGAAAATTAAAAACAAATGAAATCCTGAGTTATTAAGTAGGAAAATCACTAACAAACCAGATTCATTGAGAAAAAAACAGAAAGACAGACAGAATTATCATCACGGCAGATACAAAGAACGGAAATCTAGCACTGGACTACTGCGGAGAAGATTTAAACTAATCTCAGTTGCAGAATTCAAAGTACCACGTCAAAACAAACCAGAAAAGGGGAAAAACATACCAAGAACTGAAGAAAAAACTTGATCGAAGTTCTTTAACGACTAACTCCAGACCTCATTTTACGTCACGAGATTCTACAAATAATGTCCACGAAAAGTCGCGCCGACCAAATCGAAGAGCAGAAATCTGCGTTGTTTACCTCAACGCTAGAATGAGGATGATCTTGAAGAGAGTCTGAGAGCCATTGTTAGACGAATTAAGAATCTCCAAGAAATATGGCCGAAACGTAGAATTCGTAAGAAAATGGGGCAGGGGAACTAGACGACCGGAGGACCCGAAAATGACTGGGATAAGATTGGAATTTCAGGTTTTGAAAGAATCTTTAGTAAAATAAATTAAAATCCTAATTCCTATGTCAATAATATTATAAACATTACGAAGTGATAGATGCTTATGAGATGTCTGCATGTGTCAATTTCTTCCGTTTGTTTAGTGTCTTCGGTTAACTGCTTAATTATCAATATTGTGTATATTTTTTATCTATTATTAGTGTCTAAATGTAACACCTCATAGTTGTACAAATTGTCAGTGACAATTCATGAAAGTGAGAATTTTAGTGAATTTTTGGCGGAAAATTTTTGTTAAATTTCTAAAATAATTTATGTTTTATTTTCAAAATTTTTAATTTATATTTATATTTTATATTTTGTCAAATCTCGTATTTTCTCATTGTTTGTGATTCGTGGTGGTTTATTTTGCTCTATAATTTTACAAGAAATAAAATATTTTATTTTTGTATTTTATTTATTTCCCTCTTGTTTTTTTAAACTAAATATATGTTTTAACTTTTAATCTCTTGATTTTTTTTTATTTAGATTCTAGTTTAAAAGTTTTTAAATTATTTTATTATGTTTTAAAATATTTTAACTAAATATTTGAATATTAAAATTAGTTGATGATAAAATTAATACAATATTTTGTGAATCAACCAAAATTTAAAACATTAGTTAAGCCACATGAAAGAATAAAAATCAAAATTTATACCAATTTCTTAAAATTTTTGAAAACTAGTTAGATACAACATAGATGGTTTAATTTCACTTTTAAACGCTTTTTTTTTAATACTTTAGAAATGAATTGGAGTTCTTTTTCCAGCTAAGGGATTGAATTTAGATCTTGGATGTCATCAGCCTCTTGCCACTGTACCCCAACACCTTAGTAAATGAAAAATCACATAGTATCAAATGGTCATGGGAGTGGATCAAGAACTAGGGTCAAATATAAATTATATAAATAAACAGTATGAAAAATAAATCAATTTTTTCCTTTAAATTTGACAATTTGTTCCCATTTTTACCATAAACTTTTAATTTCGTCAAATTGAAATCTATACTCAAATAAAAGTTTTCAAAAATGTAAATACCAAATTAACTAGCTAACAGAGTTCATAAATTATACACAATTTAAACAAGTTATATCTTATTAGTAATTCAATAACAACAATTTATTAATAAGTTCATGTTGGTAAAAAAAAAAAACAATGTATTAATAAGGTCATGAGCTTAGCTAAGCGGGTAAGACAACTAATTTCTTCTTGGAGGTTCGATCTCTCATAACATGTTGTAGTTATGGTATTAAATATCGTCGACATGTCGACGTTGACATGATGGATAAATCAATATTTTCATAATATTACAAAAAATATCAACAAAATATAATTAATTGACATGATATTAATATTAATTATTTTTAGCTTATTTAGAAATGATAAGAAATTTATCCGTTAATTTAAGTAAATCTTCCAAATTTTTTTTTTATTATTTTCATAACTTTTTTAGAAATTTCTGTCCATATCAACCTTTTATCTATATTTTCATTACATTATCGGGAAAAAACCTTGGCGGTATAAGAAACTGTCATATGTCAGAAATTTGCAAAAATAAAAATCGAATCTTTCTGTAATTTCTTAAAGATTGGAAATGGGTCGATATGGAAGGAAGTTGCAAAAGTTACCCGGGCTTCACATTTTTTAGCCCAATTTTGAGTCGCAAACTCTTGGTTGAAATGGCACTTTCTTGATTCTCCAATCCAATTCTGCTTTTTGGCACTGTGCCCACACATCGCCTTCCTCCAAAAAGCCAGTTTGCGACTCTACCTTCTTCTTCACATGGTTTTTGTTGCTTTTTCCCCAGATTTTCTCATAATGGCGGAAACTATCTAAGCTTCATATTCCCCCACCATTGCCATTTCGGACTTCAAGTACAACCCAAATGCTTCCTATTCTGCACTTTTCTCCGGTAAATTTTCCCTGAATTCAATCGCATTTCTCTATTTCTTGCATTCCTTATGAGACTCGTATTACCATGAATAATGAGTTGCTCTTGTTTGTTTGACTTCCCTTTTATTTTCGTTTCAAACTCGCTTGGAGCTCACTGTGACTGAAGTCGAGTGGCCTCGTGTTTCTCCCTCGAGTTTTTCTAGTGTTCTTGATTTATGTTTTGTGAGCTATAGACAAAATTTGGATCGTTTTTTTCTTTTCCAATCGTTATATTGTCTAATTCCTAGGACTGTTTTATTTTCTCTTTGATACTTGTCAAGTCAAAGTAGAATTTCTTGGTTCTATAGCTCTCAATTGATTACTTGGTCTTCCCGGACAGGCATTGGAAGAGAGATTGGCGTTGGAGTTGGGATTTTAAACCATTAAGAAGTTCCTGTCATCAGCCAACTTTAGAATTTAGAACGACCATTTTACGATGGCAAGTTGTACGTCGGTGCATTTTGCTCTTTCTGATGGTCGAAACCCAGTTGGCATACTTAATGTTCTTGGAGGAAGAGTATCAATGCCAATTGAGAATTCCTTGGGAAGATTTGGCTGCATTAAAATGCACGAAGAAGGGAATGGGTTTGTGGGTGTTGGCCAAAAGTTAACCCTGCGTAAATTCAAGTGTGCCTCCCATTCTCACAGTGTCAGCTCATATCAAAATGGAGACCCTTTTCTTGAACTTCACCCCGAAGTTTCAATGCTTAGAGGAGATGGAAACAGTATGTCGTCGAGTAGCCCGAGACAGGATAGTCCAATTGAAAGTAACACAGAGAGTTTTGAAGACACAACCAGTCCAGGTAATTATGGTGTAGCAAAGATTAAAGTCATTGGTGTAGGAGGTGGAGGGTCAAATGCAGTTAACCGTATGATAGAGAGTTCAATGAAAGGCGTGGAGTTCTGGGTCGTTAACACGGATGTTCAAGCTTTGAGAATGTCTCCTGTGTATTCTGAGAACCGTCTTCAAATTGGTAGGGAGCTTACGAGGGGTCTTGGAGCTGGTGGGAACCCAGAGATTGGCATGA